TCCCTGAGGTGTAGGCACCCCGGATGCAGGCCAGGCCTGGTCATTAAAACAGGTAGGACACAGAGGAGGCTCTCAGATAGCCAGGCAGAGAGGGCAAGAGGGGAGCTCACCTCGACCTCCTCCAACCCCACCTCTGACAACCCGTCCGCTGTTAAGAGTGACAGGAGTACCTGGGTGCACTGCTTGGTTCCCAGCCTGAAAACACCACCCACAACACCCGTCACCACCCACAGATTTCCCACACAGGTGTGTCCAGCTCTGTGGGTGCCATGAACAGAGACCAGCCATCCTGGTCTTCCCAGGTCATAGGCCATCAAGGTGACCTGCTCACCTGACACCCAGCAGATGCTTCTCCTTGGCCACGGCACAGCAGTGCCACACTCCAAGGAGAGCACCTGCCCCCTGAACATGTGCCACCCAGGAACTGGCCACAGGTCGCAGCAAAACACACACAGTTCTTCCAATATCAGCGAAGACTGGATATGAACTTGGCCAAAGTGAAGACGAAGTAAGATGCATTTCCAGCTTCCAGTTTGCCGAGCAGCAAAACAAAAGTAGGGAAGCAGAATGCCCAGAGCATCAGATATTCTGTGTAATTCAATTATCTAGATGGCACAGAATTGAATGGAAAGCTGTCAAAGTAAAACATCGTCTTATTGGGGGCGAGGCTCAAGTAGTAGAATGCCCATCTAGCAAGCACAAGACCCCAAGTTCAAACCCCAGTACTGTGAAAACTTAAAAAATGGATTGCCTTAACAAATAACCAAACCTACAAACACAGTTTGAGGGTCACAATGTGCAGAGTGATGCAGGATGCCCTGGGAGGTGTGTGGGGGGCAGCTGGAAAGGTGACTCAGAGAGGGTGGGGCATCTGTGAAGACATGGCCAAAGGCAGACAACAGGACACACTGGAAGCTCACAGCAGGAGATGCAGTCTTGAGAGGCCCCCACAGAGTCATGTCCGCCAGAGAGGCTGAGCACTGTGGCAGGGGCTGGAGCAACCCAAAGGACCACACCCCAGGGCTGCCCTGCTGCCCAGAGCCATCTGCCCACTACCTGGTCACCTGCTTCCTACTCTAGCAGAGGTCAGAGAGATGACTTCCATGTCCCCACAGCTATGGAAGACAGAGGTGCTCTTAGGTGGGATGGGGACTCAGGCTGTGGGGATCCTGTGGGAACAGTGAAACAAGACTGTGGGCTCCACAAGGAGACCCCAGGAAGGCTGTCCAGGCAGAGACTCAGGAGGTATATGCTGTCCAGGCTTGAGGGGAGCCACCTGGCTCCAGCCCGCAGTCCAGCTGACTCTCACACCATGGCCTCAGATGTATACAACGGTCACCTGAGGAAGGGTCCCCGGGGATTTCCCATGAGGATATTGCAATTGTCCAGGTAAGAACTGAAAACTGATGAATCAGAGAAATCTGCAAAATGGTTACTTCTCTCACAGACTACTACTGGTCTGCAGCGGAGCTGAGCTGCACCCTGTGCCCTGCTCATCTGCCTCATCTGTCCCTCTTTTAAGTCACAGAGCATATCAGGAAAGTGTGTGAGAGAAAGAATCACTCTGCTGCAGTGGAGGACTCCAGTCCAAGACCCAAACTGTCAACCTCAGATCTCTGATGCAGGTAGGACTAATCCAGGCAGAGGTGTACACCATAGCCCAGCTGCTTAAATCTCCACAAGGTCTCCCAAGAGTAGGTGCTAGACACTGAGAATGTAAGAATGTCTCAAATGCACAGATGAGGGAGAAAGGTGAGATACGATTACATACACAGATAGATGATCGGTAACAGATGATAGATGGCAGACTGACGTCATAGATAAATACGATAGACAAATAGATACAAAGTCAAGACAGACAAATTAAAAAGACAGACACAGATGGTCGATACAGATAGACAATAGATACATGATAAATACATGATAGGAGATAGGTATAGACAGAGAAGCAGAGGAAGTGGCTCTCAGCCTTGGCTTCAACATAGAAAAACCTGCTGTACATTAAAAAATAAGGTCCCAGCTGCAGGGATGAGCCCTGCTGTGCATTTCATAAAAGTTCCAAGGACTTTAATTAGCAGCTCAAAGCATGTATGTGACATTAAAATGCATGTGTGATCAAGAGTCTGGTCCCTGGTGACATTGTCAAGGGTCTGAGGCACTCTAAATGGACATCATGAGCCCTGCCCCTCCCTGCTAGGTCTGGTGGTAGGCGAGTTTTGCAGAAGTGGGCAGGCAGGTTTGTCCCCTCCTCAGGGTCATCTGTGTTCAGGGCATGGGTTCCATGCTTCTGTGCTGTGCATAGTAGACTGCCCCAGGATTGGCATGGCTACTCAGGAGACCTTTCTGATTTGGGGTTTGAGTCAGTGAGCCCGGAGAGCAGTAACCAAAAGGCACACTCTCCAGGTAGCTTCATGAGCCCCAAACCGTATTTGAGCACACCGGTCTGGCTCTTGTGCCTGTTTTGTGCAATTGGTTCCAAACGCCAGCAGAGAAGGGGGGAGGCAGAGCACCCTTAAAACCCTAAGACGTCAAGAACTATTACTTTTTCTCATTTAGCAGAAAAGACTCCAAATTGTGTCCTGTGTAACCTCTGAATGCTACATCCCATGCCTGCTGCACGCCAGGAACCCTGCAGTGCACAGGGGTAACAGGTGGAGGGAGGTCACCCACTAAACACCATTTCCCTGTAGTTGGTTGTTTCCAGCCTTGTGAGAGGCAGAACTTACAGCATGGTAGGAATCCAGTCAACAGGCAGACCACTGCCCATACTTCCAGAAAGCCAAATGTTTTTCCCTAAATTTGCCCCACACTTTGCAGAAGTGATCTGTTGGGCTTAATGGTTGCTGGGCAACACAGACTGGGAGGGCTTGACCCGGAAGAGGAAGTTGCCCACACACCCTCCTGCTGCCCAGTTCTCCTTTTGCCATGCCATCCCAGGTTGGCCATCTGTCAGCAGGACCACAGGCTTACAGGAGCGGTGGCCAGGCACTGTTCCAGAAAGGGACACTGTCAGCCCAAGGCTGGTTCTCTTGAGTGTTGCAGGTAAAACCAGGACATGTGATTCTTAGCTTGGCAAAGCTTGCTCGCTGTGTTAGGGGGAAGGCTGAGACCCACCCCACCAAAGGCTGGAGAATCTCTGAAGCTTTGTCTGCCATGACCCCACAGAAAGCTGGAGGATCCCTGAGGCCTGGTCTCCATGACTCCCGTGTGACCTTGTGATGATTCTCCTTGTCACATGGGTGTTGGCAGTGACTCTCAGTGAATCCATGCTGCCCTCAAGAGGCCTGGGGACTGCAGCAGGGGGGACTGAAGTGGTGGGAGGGACTGTAGCAGCAGGGAAGGGGTAAGACTGCAGCAGGAGGCCCAGAAGGAGGGATTGCAGCAGTGGGCGGACTTCAATAAAAACTCTTGTGAGAAACACCATTTTAAATGTCCACCATGAGCCAGTCTTTTCAATGCTCAGGAAAAGGACTTCTCCACATTTGATCGAAGAGGGACATCACTTTTATTTACTCATGTTTCTGAGTTGAAAGGCTAAGGCCGCCTGCCAGGTGTTAGCCATCACGAAGCGGACCTGAGGCGCTGACTGGACATTGCTGCCCCCGTGTGGCTGACTTTGTCATACTTCACCAGAACACAGGGAGAGGTCCCAATAAAAAGGATGACTATTAATTCTAATTCTAAATAAGATGGGATCTGAGAGTTAAAAACCTATGACATAAATCTCGAACACTCTAGACCAATTATTGCAGGTCACAAAAGGAGGAAGCAGAGCAGAGACGGGGCCAGTGCAGAGTCTCACCCCTCCCGCCTGGGCGGTGAGTTCCAGTCTTCTGCTAAGCATCTATTCATGTGCCCAGCATTGTGGTCAGTACAGGGGCTATCACATAAACACTGTCCTCCAGCAACACTTCCCACAGGGCTTCCTACAAAAGCAAGGCCACCTTCTGGGCTTGCCTAGGTTGTCCACTGCTTCATGGGATTCAGTGACCTCTAAAGCAGAGGGCAAAGCCTCCAAACCATTAGGAAGAGAAGCTCACCAAATGCAGCATTAGTCCTCTATGGTGTGTGCATGCTGCCCTGCCTATGCATGTGTGCTTGTGTGCAGACTGTGTGCGTGTACACACCAAGACAGGCCTGCACAGTTGCACACGAGGAGCTCTATGAGTGGGGTGGACCAGGAAGGGAAGGCCACTTAGTCTGGCTCAGTCGTTTTCATGATTAACACATGTGGTTTAAAACAGTGTAAAAGAGGGCACAAGCTGATTGATGGGTTGCTGAGTGGTTGAACAGGGACTGAAGGGGGAAGTCATCCCGGGGGTAGAGCCAGCTACATCCACGTCAGGTAATACGTAGGTGGCAGCTTCCCAGACACCTCCCAGATCCACGATGCTCCATGTCTGGCTGGGAAGTGCCCACATTCTTCCACAGACCCCCGCACAGGCAGGGGCACAGGGGATGCTAGAAACACTGTTCTATGCTTTTCCCCCATTTCACCCTAATCCTCCTCTCCTCCTGCTAGGGTTTCAAGGTGGGTGTCCTGCCAGTATCCACAGGGCCATGGTATTAGTAGATGGGGCTTCTGGGGAGGCAGAGCCCTCAAGAAAGGGTTAGTGATGCTGTAAAAGAGTGGGAGGGAGTGCACCAACACCCCGCCCTCCCCCAGCCCCGCCCCCTAAGAACATGACCACCCGGCACATCCCGGAGGCAGAAAGCAGCCCTCACTAGAACCTCACCTCGGACGTCCCATCTCTGAACTGTGAGCAGCAATTTCTACCTCTACAAACTGCACAGCTGCACAGGGCGGACTAAGGGACTCTCCCAGTGCTGCACCTGTGATGCTGCCTTCAGGAGAGCTTCTTCGCCTGTGTGATTTCTCGACAGACAATGTCAGTATTAAAGCATACATAGATGCGCCTGACTCAACTCCACAGATGACACTCCAACCACAAGACAGTGCCCAGGACAAGTTTAAGAAACACAGTTGGCAGACATCGTTTCAGTGGAGGATTCCTTTTCATTTAGACATGTGTGTATCATTTTATGCATGAAAAGAAAATAGTCCATTAAAGTACATTTTCATCGTGGACTGTTTAAAATCTAGTAATAAATGTGACAGTATTTTAAAGCTGTTCCAAAAATAACTTGAAATACTCTCAGAAAAAGGCGTCTGGACATGACTCAATATTTCCTTTGAAGTTTAGCATATTCTAAAGGGGAACTTGTTTCCATCCAAAAATAGTGATTTGTTTACTGGGAATGTCATGGTAACATCCCATAAGATAAATTATGTACAGAATGCACACATCCTACGTACACAGATACACGGGTGCCTGTGATGGCAACTTTTAAGTTGGCATGTCACGTGAACACACTCTTCTGGCAGTGCTCATCACTCCTGCTGCAGCCCTCTTCCCACAGGGCCTCCTGCAGAAGCAGACGCAGCCGACTCTGCTCATCTGCCTCTGGGGTTGTCCACTGCCTCTTCAGGTACTGAACATCGATGGCACCAGAGGCCCTGGCCAGCACCAGGGCCAGGAAGCTGCTCCCAGCCTTCTCTGGCTCTCCCATGACAGTCATGGCCACCAGCCTGCAGGCAAGAGAGGACGTGAGCAGGGAAATCAGTGCATAGTGCGGGACTCTTGGTTACCTGCGTCTTCCAAAATGCCTGTCTTCCAAGAGAGGAGTGAGATGGAAGGATGGAAAAGCAATTCTAAAGAAAGCAATAGTAAAATGAAAGGTTATATAAATAGTAAAATGTAAAAATAGTAAAATGAAATAGTAATATGAAAGTCTATAGAAAATGTTTTCAAACATTTCTGCGTCTGAGGTCTGATGGCCTGACCACTTGTGAAGGCAACTGACAAGGGCACAATGTGGTGGATAGGCCTGAGGGGCTCCAGCTGCCCCAGTAAAGGGTGAACTCTCCCCTTGCTGGAAAAGAACACCTCCAGCAGCAGGGCCTCCCAGCAGGACCAGGCTGCCCTCCCCTACCCCAGAGCCCTGGCAGTGGGGTCCCCAGTGTGGGGGTCCCCAGCACCTCAGTTCCCTGTTTCCGGATCTCAACCACAGTTGAATGCCAATGTTCACAAAATGTGCCTTCCAGCCTACACCTGTCCCTGACAAGACACCTCCATCCAACTTTACTCTGGTGAATAGCAACCCCTTCAACCCATTAGGTGACCTAGTGAGAAACCCAGGCCACCTGACACCTCTGAACGTCCCTCTCCACACCACATCCCCATGACCACAGGCCCCATCTGGAAGCTTACTTCCTGCAGCAGCAACTCTCAGAAACATACATCAGAGGGTGATCTTGTCCCTTCTTAAACCCTTCCTGTGATCAGCAGGAAGGTGTCCAGGCCCGCTAAATGGCTTTTCTGGGCCTGCTGCTGGCACCAGAACCTCTCCAAACCAATCCTTGTTCTACCTTCCTATGGCTGGGTGCCTGTAGCCAGAGACTGGCAGGGCCTCCTCCCTCCTGCTGTTTGGAGACTCTTTCCACCCACCTTTGTCTGGTTCACTACTGTTTATCCTGTAATGCTGGGCTTGGCACCATCCCCACAGAGAACCTGGAGTTATCACCCCAGCTGTGCCTAGTTGGGCCACAGTCCTTATCAGGATTCCTAAGGCATTCTGGGAATATCTGAACTCAGCTTGATTTGCCACCAGGGTGGAAACCACGTGTAATACAACACAGTGGTATTCAACAATGGCCAGGGTTAGGCACCACACAGTGCTGACCGCTGTTGGGGAACCCAACATTGGGGTTTGAACTCACACTTAGCTGGACAGGTGCTCTGCCCCCAGCCCTCCTGACACATGTTCTAATGATTAGGATAATATCAGCATGTTAATCACTTGAACTTAATCAATGTACTTCTTAAATTTCTTTATATCTCTAACATTCTATCAAACCCTAATCTGTTTTTGAGCACTTTTATCCTCCTCTTTCCTTTACAAAGGGGCAGTGAGATTTAGTTTCCAGTTATCACAAACCTTTAGAATAGGAGAATTCATGGACAAAAAATAAATTCAAGAAATGTAAAACATAGGTGAATAGTCAAGAGAGAACCCTTCATAATGAAAACCTTTAGAAATACTGCTACTTTGAAATAAAACCCACAAAGACAAAGAATTACTTAACCATAGTATCAGTGATAATTTACAAATCTCAAATTCACATGAATGAATTTCACATGAACTAACAAAAAGGCCAGAGACTACGTGACCAAGATAGGAGCACCTTGGAGGGTCTGAGCAGAGGATGACATGAGGGTGAAATTATGTGAGTTGAGAAGTCCTGTGTACACCTCTCAGGGCATGGTGGTGCACCTGTAATCTCAGCACTGGGGAGGCTGAGACTGGAGGATTGAGTACTTGGGGCCAGCCTGGGATATACAGCAAGGCCTTGTTTCAAAAAAGAAAGAAAAAAAAGGCTAGAAGCTAGGAGGAATATTTTGTAAATCACTCAGACACAAATTTAAATTTGTAAGACTGGCAAATGAACGTAATTAAGGAGGTCACAAAGAGTTTCTTCCTTTGCTTCTAGAATGATAGTGATGGGGATGATTACACTATGAATCTTTTGATCCAATGGACTATCTGGGGTTAAATGTAAGATTTCCATCCAATACCTCAGAAGAACACCAATGAGAGTGAAGCCTCGTGTGAAATGGCTCTGGGTGACTGTGATGTGTCAGCAGAGGGGAGCTTTGCTGTTGGGGGATAGAGGGGCCATGGGAGGTCTCTAATTTCCTCTCAGTTTTGCTGTGAACTTAAAACTTCTCTACAAACATTTAATTACTTTTAAATATATAAATGATATATAAAATATAATTTAATTTAAACTTAAATGGCATGTTTTAAAGTAGAGCAACCTTACACATTAAATAGACTGAAAGGCCATGGGTGAGGGTGGTGGCCATCCTGGGCATCAGGCTCACCTGTCTGGAGAGATGGGCTGCTTGGCCACAGGGCCCAGGTCACTCTCAAGGAGATCCCAGATGTAGACCCTGGATGCATCATCCTGGACCAGGAACACGGCGGGCCTCGTCGGGGACCACTGCAGGCTGGTGACAGCGTGGCCCTCAGTGCTGCCGTCCCATTGTGCCAGTGGCCACTCAGACATCAGCTGGTGTAGCCTGATGCTCCCATCTGCGCAGCCGGCCTGCCACCAGGGTGTGGAAACTATTAGCTTCTCTTTCTTTTTTTAACTAAATCTTAGTTGAAAAAGGGAAACTTTTCAGTGCATTAGCTTTCTTTCACTTTTACAATAAGAATGTGGTTTATTTTTGTTTTCTGAACATAAAATTAAATCATTAACTCTCTGCTCACAAGTTATAAAGTAAACACTCACCCTGGGGACTCTCTCGCAGCACTCCTCCCACTCCCAAGAGGCTACCTGTGCATCTGCTGGGTACGTAATGTTTACTTTTAACATAGCCGGGCATTGCTGGCTCAAGCACAGGCCATTAAGGCTGCTTCCACAGTACGTCTTAAAGAGCTGCATACATTCCATGGTATGGTTATATATCCCTCTTGAATTGAAATTCCAATAAAACAAAACTTAGTGGGTTTAGTAAGAGACCAAATTTTTAACTTATGAAGAAAAGATTAATTCCTTGTTTCTCTTTTTAATCCTTCACATACTCAAAAAAAAAAAAAAGAAAAAGAAAAAAATCAAGAATGGAAGTCAAATTCTAAAACAAAATACAAGCAGAAACAAATTTAAAAACCTATGTTCAAATAAATCACAAAACCACACAGGGAGGAGGGATGAGAACTAGGCTGAATCATCTGTGCACATGTAGTAGGGTGGGGAGCCTTTTGAGTCAGACACAGAGAGCCCCAAGACACATGCTTCTCAGCAGTGTGAACTCTGGGGCTGCACATAAAAACAGACATATCACAGATCACTTGAATAAGGCTTGTCTCCCAGGGCTCATGTGCCAGGGGCTTGGTCTGCAACAGAATGGTATAGAGAGTGGTGGGACCTTTAAAGGGTAGGGCCTAACAGGAGGTGATTAGGTCACTGGGTCGTGGCCTTGCATCAGGGACTGGTACCCACCCCACAGGAATGCGTTAGCTCTCAGGATTACATTAGTTACCATGAGAGCTGGGTGTTCAATTCTAAAATGTTTGCAGCTGAACAAACTATTTCTTAAGAGAGTCAATTTTCTGAATTGTTCTGACTTTGTCATTAATGTCACATTTCTTATTAAGACCACTGAAGGCTAATAAATGACTCATTTGTCACCCAATAAATGATAAACTGTCAAGTTTTCCACTGGGTCACTATGTTATGCTGCTCAAATAGGCAAATAACACCATTAAGAAGTGACTTCTGGCTGGCAATGTAGCTCAGTGTGGGGTACATGCTTGCCGTGCATACACAAGTCTTGGATGGATTTCTATATAGCAAGAAAAGAAAAAGTGGCTTTCTTACCAAAAATATTGGTTCTCCAAATGGTGAAAAATCAATCACATTGACTTTTACTGGTCTTACACCACGTTGCTGAGGTTTGAACAGCTTGGGAGATACTCTCAAGTCTTGTCTCGTGCCATGGCTTATAATACCCTAGTAATAAGAAGACCAAGAGAGACCAAAGAAAAATATTAGACACAATTTCGGAACAATATATAAATCATAATAAAAGCAAACAGTAAACAAATCTTATATAAAGAAATTTATAAGGTAACTCTGGGAGAGAAGAACAAGCACTGGGATAGCAGTAAAACATTACCTACCAGGTCTGTGCCAACAATAAAGTGGTTAGGATCTGAAGGCAGAAATTTGAAACTCAGTGTTTGCGTGTCCCCCCAGAATTCACTGTCTTTACGGGAAATACTGAAAAGAAAAGGCAAAGATGAGTACGTGGCTTGTTTTGAAACCTTAAGGACGATGACATCTTAACACTCACTCCAGCACCGCCTCAGAAGTGGAGCCTCCATGCTGCACTTCCCTGGTGATTTTAACCACTCTGTTTCCTGTTTCTATTTCTGTTCCTGGTTGTGTAATAACTTCCACTGATCTATCAACACACTCAACAGTTCTTTCCAAACAGGTTTGGGGTGTACAAGTGCTCAGTGTGCTAATCAATTCCAATTCCATGATTGTCATACCATGCTGGACTGTTTCCTCATGCTTGTAGCCCCTGCAACGTTTGTTTGTGAACTCATCTTTGGCAGAGCACCTGTGGGAATTCTGTGAACCCCAGCTCATAAAAGGGTCCCCTCCCACCAGGCAGCTGTCCTCACACCCACCAAGCCACTGGTCTGGAGCACTGATGCTCACCTTTCAACTCCAAGTTCCCACACCTGCACCCAGCTTGGGATTTTCTTCTTCTAAGTTTCCATTTGCCCTCATTTGAGGGAAAAGCTATCTAAATTGCCTTCACACTGAAGGGGCAATAGGTCCCAGAGTCCTGTGAAGGGGCCTCAGCTTCAGCTCTCTGAATCAAGCAAGCTCAAGGCATCACTGGTCCTGCATGGGGCTTGAGCTGCAGGTACACAGTAAAGGCCTAAGACAGTCAGCCCAGGTCTGATAACCTGGCTTCTGGACTGTCACCATCAGAATAAAATCTTATGACTCTAACTTCACTTCCCTCCTTGTTTCTAGCATTTAGATTTTTTCTTTTAAGAAACTTCCCTTTATACAGCATTGTCTGTTATGGAAGAGAGCCCACAGTTGCTCCATCTGCTATGCTGCCTTTGTCACAAGTTAGAAATCGGGGCTGGGTACAGTGGCTCACACCTGTAGTCCTAGCTACTTTGGAGGTGGAGCTAAAGAAGATCATGGTTTGAGAGTAAAAAGTTAGTGAGATCCCATTTCAACCAATAAAAGCTAGATGTGATGGCTTGTGCCTGTCATTCCAGCTTTGTGGGAGGCATAAATAGGAGGACAGTGGTCCAGGCCAGCCTGGGCATAAGTGCAAGACCTATTCAAAATATCTGAAGAAAGATACAGAGAGAGAGAGAGAGAGAGAGAGAGAGAGAAGGGATAGAGAACCTGCCTAGCAAGGACAAGGCTTTAAGTTCAAAACCCCAATACTGCAAAAAAAAAAAGGTTGGGAACCTACTTGCCTCAGCTCCTCTCCTAACTCGTCATGTCCTAATGACTCCTGAGTCTATGAGCTCCACAGCTCTGTCGTCCTAACCTGGGGACCCTGCCCTATCCCTCCTCCCTACCTCCACTTTCTTCATCTGGAGAGTGGCACCTAGTGACCAAACCAGGCTCTTCCCTCCCGTTGTCACCAATTCCTCCTCTCTAATTCATATCCAACCCTTTGACAGGAGGCCTCTCCTACCAGTCACTACATGAGCCAATCTCCCTTCCTCTGTCCCAAACTCATGCTTTTTGCCAACTTGTTTCTATAACACAAAGCAGACATGCCACTCCTTGGCTCAGGATCCTAGATGGTTTCCTGTCACCATTACAATAATGCCTAAACTGTCAGCACAATGGTGTTCTTGTCAGAGTCTGTCACCAACTTGAACCTCTCTCATCGAACCCCTGGGCCCTCCCTTCCACTTACTGTTTCTTCAGGCCACCTGCTCCTTTGTTCTACCTTTCAAAAGCCAAATTCAGTCATCACCTCCCCAAGAAGTCACCATTTCACTCCAGCGCCAACCTGTCCCCCCACCTTGAGCTGTGTACACCCCAACAGAACACATCACACTGTGTGATAACCACATGGATGAGGAAATACACCCCAGGTGCACCTGCAGCAATGGGCCCACAAGGAATAATGAGGATGGATGGCAGCTAAAACTACTTCACCCAGGGTGACATGTCCTCCTGGGGACATCCCATAACTGCAGAAAGAGGGCACAAAGGCCCACCAGTGTGGGTCTCAGAGCCAGGGAGCACTGAGTCAGGGCACTCCTCACAGCCCAGTCATGCCTAGTCCTTCTTTCTCATAGATCTCAGAAGACACAGCTAAGAGTTTTAGGGGAAATACAGCAACAGATACATTACTTTCCTTTGATGAGTTTGTAGTTAAGTCCTGGAGAAATCTATAGCTTAAAAAAAATGCAATGCAAGGTATGAAGTGAAGGTCACAGCAGAGGTATTAAGATCCTTAAAGAGATCCGGACTGGGGGTCTGGGGCTAGCCCACATGTATTTGGCTCTGTAATGTATCAGACAACTAGTTAAACTAATTGATTCACTTTCACAATTATATTTAAGTCAACTACAAGTGATTTGCAATCTCTAAGCAGGTAGGAATTGATAAGCACAACTCAGAGCTAAAGATGAACCAGAGATGAGAAGAAACCAGGCTCAAGGGTTTCTCAAGGGTAATTCACATGTTGACAGTCATCTCCCAGTAAATGGTAAGGAAAGACAGCTTTGGAAATAAATCCACATGGCACATATACAAACCACAAAAAACACTTCTTAAGAGTACTTATTAAGAATTTGTATCCCATGTTGTTATATGACTAAAAGTAGAAACATAAATTTCTTAATTAAACTTTCTACCAATGTTTCTGGTTCCTATAACTTCACTGAAGTTTAACGTTGTTTGTATTAAAATGGGATAAAAAAGAAGTCAAGTAGTATCAGTTTATAAGCTATAAAACACTTTTTATCAAAAAGAATTAGCTCTATACCTGGAAGTTGCCTTTATTACATTGACTCATTACTAATAAATAACAAAAATAGGATGTGAGAAAATGCACCTTTCTTGCAAAAACTGACTGTATTTATAATGTATGCAGTTACCGAATGCTGTTTTCTTCCTGCCAGAAACAGGTCTTTCTGAGATGACAGGAAGTGATTTAGTTCATAGTGGCCCAGTCTCACCTGTCACCCAAGTAGATCACAGCGCTGTGTACCAACTTGATCCTCCCTCCAGGTATCAGACCTAGAAACAGACAAGCCAGAAACACAGGTACCTTGTAATAGAAGTTAAGCAAGAATTTAAGTACAGTAGTGGAATCATTTTTCATTGCTTACATAGCTATGTTAAGAAACAATGCTAAAATATAAATTCCCTCCCTGATTTGAGTGGGGCAAGGTGCCTTGCCTGCGGAGAGCTTTATGAGAGATAAGTGGATGGAGACCCCAAAGCTTTCGCATCTCAGATTTGAGAAGGCAGTGGCAGTCTGCATACTTAACACACCTCGAATTCACAGCAAGCCCTGTGCTGCCAATGTCCATAAGGAGCCTCTCCTAGGAATGGACATGGGACCCTCTCTCCTCCAACCTCCCCACCATTCCACCCACTTGCCTAACTTCCTCCCTCAAACCCCACAGAGCTGTGGTTCCCAGACCTAACTATTTTTCAAGTGTGTGCAACCACATGCCGCCCCTTAGCCACGTGCTGGCTTTGCCTCCATACCTGTCCCAGCACCGGGTTCCTTTTTCTCATGACTGCAGAGGGAGAAGTAGAGTTTATGTATACTGGGATCCAAATTCTGCCTAGCATTTTGGGAGCAGTTGACTTAAACGCATGTAGGAACAAATTCAAACTGTAGCTGGGAAGGCCTGCAATGGCTGTCACCATCACAGCTGTCATAGAAGACCATTTAAGCTGCCACGCACAGATGTGGCACCGCCCTGCACCCATAGCAGGTCTGCCCCTCGTCTTGGCCCACATCCACAAAAACCACAATACTAGGACCACATCCCAACAGGATACATGCAAGGTCCTGTCCACACCACACAGAACCCTCTTCCCTGAGTCTGGGCAGGAGGGGCACAACCATTATCACTGCAGCCATGCTTTCCCCCAGATCTACCTGGGAACACACCCTAACAAAAACAAAGTGAGAACCAAGTGTGGGGATATAGGATGAAGCATGACTGAACTGTTCCAGGATGTCCAAGCCCTTCTCACAACTAAAAACTGTACTGCATACATAAAAATTGTGGGAGATACCTTGCTGCTAGTCACTTCTGCTCTGAGCAAGGTATGCCAGCCCACTGAGCTATCACCCACTCCAAGTGGCCTTGGAGAGCCACACTTGGCCCACTAGTATGCACTGGGTAAATCCAAGCCACAAGGAAAAAATCCCAAAGAAGCAAATGAGGACTCAAGGACCCAGACACCTGAAGTGTGTTGGGAAGGCATGAAAGGCAGGCGTCCTCAGCCTATCTCACAGAGCAGAATGAACCTCAGCTGTGAACAGAAGTGACAACATCCGTCTACAGAGAGAAGCATCCATCAGACATCATTTGACCTCTTTAGTAAATGAGGTACCTGTCCAATAATAACAAAGTTATATAATGCACAACTTTAATGATCATTTTTCAGGTAGCTAATTACATATTTTTCAAAGCAGGTATTGATATCTTTAATTTCTTCATTTTAGCAAATATTGACTAAAGTTAATGTTTTAATATAATAGTTACCTAAATCACTCATTGAACCTGCGATATCTGCCTTTGGTAATTCAACAACCACCTAAAAATACAATGTTGAAATGAATATTGGTATGTTGTATCATTATTAAATCATCTAAGCAAAGCGTAGCTCTAATTAAGATAGCATACTTTATTAGGTCCTAAAAATGTAATTGCATTGACTTCCTCAATAGCCATGGTCTCATGAACTCTGTAGTAGCCTCACAGCACTGACTCCTTGTTCCACTTTCCCTTCCATTCCCAAAGGCCCATGGGAGGATCCCACTGAGCTGTCAGTCAGGTCCCAAACTCACCATGCATAAAATTTCATATACCTGCTTCACAGCACTAATAAACCCATCTTAGATAATTATCTCACCATCCTATTCTTCCCTGACCCCTCCCCCAATTCAGAGGCTATTCTCCACCCCAGACACCCACCCCTGCCCATGCATGTGACCCTGGACCTCCTACTCACCCACACATTGAGCACCCCACTCTCATCCAAGGAAGCAATGTGGAATGACAAACCAGACATTTCTAAGGAAAACAGAAACATGAAGGAGCTGACTTTCAGTGAGGAAGTCACATTTCCTAACTGTTGCTTGAAGGGTTTTCAGGGAATGGGGAACCAGTACCTTCTTTAGCAGAGAAGGGTGAAAGCACGAAGCTCTGTTTTTTGTAGACAGACGTGGCAACAGGTTCTATGGCTTGAAGTGGACTTCGGTGGTTTACTGAAGTAAGGATCCCATCTAGAGTATCCACATACAAGTAATAAGTCATAGAAATACAATCAGCATTATACATGGACAAACATAGAGGTGTTTCTGGGTCTAAAAATCATGCCCATTACAAGGAAACAGAGACCACAACCTCAAGATGCCAGAGGGAAAAACAGCAAAGCATGAGGCTGCCCCATCATTGCCAGCTTGACAGGTTTGGAGCGAGAGTATCACAAAGACTGAGGAGACTCAGTCTGGAGTCCTGGGGAAGGGGCTGGGAAGCAAAGAGGACACGGGGAGGGGCTCAGGGCACCACTACTTAGGAAGAAGGATGTCAACAGGAAAGAGTGGAGCCCACCAGACTCAGGGCACTGCCAGGTAGGAAAACCAGGAGCAGGCAAAACCAAGGCCAAGGGACTCTGCACCCCATCACCATGAGCCACACTCTCCGTTAGAGACATCAGTACAACAAAGCCTTTTTTCATCTAGGACATCCACCTGCAAAACACCCAGGAGCAGGAAAGATCAGGAAAATTCCCTTTAAAGCTACTGTAATGAAAAAATAGAGATCACAGCATCTCAGCTGATAAACATCACCCCCCTCCAAAAAAAAAACCAAGCACAACAGTCTAAGTTGAATCAAATCTCTTCAAAAAACATTTGAAAATGTGATTAAAACAGACAGCAAACAAAACAAAAATACCCAGAATCAAAACTCAAGAACAGAAACAGACCAAAAAAAAGGGCAAGAAATAAAATGAGAGTGGGATAACTGAGGCAAAGAACTTCAGGGCTCCCTGGGGAGGACAGGCACATGACCACGGAGGGGCTGGGCTCCAGGAGGGGAACAGGCCTCTGGTGCAGGACCTGTGTAGGACCTGTGCTCTCACTACCGAGAGCACATTTAACTTTGTGGGTTTACTGACTACATTTAGAGGGCAAAAGAAAACAAAGGGAGCATTGCCATGGAGTAACATTTTACCCAATTGGCCTATGTCCATGGGTTCCTCGTCTGTGGATTCAACCAACTATGAATTAAAAATACTCAGGAAAAACTTGTCCCTGGATATAAACAGTGCTCTTGTCTTCATTCTCTCAGCAGTAGAGTGTAGCAGCTAGCCACACAGCATTTAAGCCACAAGGATCATAAGGCAGTCATCTACAGGAGACTTAAAGTGCAAACACCGTCTCCTTTTGTACAACAGAAGCACCTGGAATTTTGGTACCTGACGGTCCTGAGCCAACTCCATCAATATGCAGGGACAAATGCACATGCCTTAGAAGTTTAGTCTTTTGAAAAGACTGCTGGATTCAAAGGTTTATTAGCAACATCAGCAGTTGTGACTTAATAAGCATGGAAAATGAGAAGTTTTAAAAGATATCTGTAGAGCCTAATACTCATTTGCCTGAGGCATGTTAATAAATTCTGTGTGTCCTTTTCCTTACTAAGAAAAGGTATCTTTTATAACTGAATCAAAACCCATATGGTGCCTATAAACATAAACATACTCTCCCCAGAAGGGAAAAAATTGGTTGGTGGGGCTTAAAAAAAACAAAAAAAAAGTGGTCTTTTTACATATAACACAGATATAAATACAGTACATAAGCGGATATGCAATATATTTGTGGTGTCAAAACTTCAGGAAGAATGAACAGGAAAAGAAAGTTTTAAAGGGCTACTGAGATAGGAGAATGAAAAGATTAGTCACAGAATGGGAGAAAATATCTGCAAAACCTGATTAAAGCACTTTTACTCAAAATATACAAAGAACTCTTAAAACTCAACTACAAGAACGCAAACAACCAATTAAAAACAGGCCAAAGATTTTGACAGACAGCTCACCCAAGAAAATACACAGATGGCAAATGAGCAAATGAAAAGATGCCAGGTCATGTATCATCAGGGAATGCCAATTAAACAACAAGGCACAGCGATTAGAACTGCCGAAGTCCAGACCACTGGCCAATAAATGCTGGCAAGGACACAATCAATTCTGGTGGGAATGCAAAACGGTGCAGCTGCCTAGAAAGATGGTTTTGTAGTTTCTTATAAATACAGGCCAGCAATAAGCTTCCTGCATTTATTTAAGTGAATGAATTAAAAAAAAAAACCTGGGGGTCATCCATACAAGGATATATTTTTCATCAAGGTGAATAAAAACTTAAGAATGTGAAAGAAAAATTTTAAATTAGCTATCAAGTCATGAAAGAACATGAAGGAAACCTATGGACACATAAAAAGTGAAAGAAGTCCATCTGAAAAGGTTCATATTATATGATGACAACTATAGGACTTTCTTGAAAAGGCAAAACTATGAAGAAAATAAAAAGATCAGTAGTGTCCAGGAGCAGGAGAGGGGAGGGGAGGGATAACACACATTGTAATCAAACTGATGAAAGCCATATATCCAGCACACATCTTGAATGCAGTAAGAAGAAAATGGTTCGTGATACAGGGAGAGATGAGCTGACTAACAGTTGACCTCTTACTAGATAGACACCATGGCAGTCAGAAAAGCAAGAGGAAGGGAAAGAACTGTGAACTCAGAACTGTATGCCCACCAAATCATCCCTCAAGAAAGAAAAGTTCATCAGGCACAAAATTAACTAGACATAGCTCACAGACTTAAATATAAAACCTAAAATTACAAAATTTCTAGAAGCAAGAACAGCAAGCCATCTTTGTAACTTTCAGTTAAGCAAAAACTGCTTAGACATGACACCAAAAGCAGAAAATAAAAGAAAAAAGTTGACAATTGACTCATCAAGTTTCAAAGGTGATGTTATTAGAAAGGAAAGGATAATACAGACTGGGAGAAAATATAAAATACATGTCAGATATATCCACAATACATACTCTTAAAACTTAAAGGACTGGAGGTGTAACTCAGTGGTTAGGGTTAGTGGGACCCTGGGCTCAATCCCAGCACCACATACACTTTAGTAAGAAAATAATCCAATACAGTGGGCAAAAGGCTTGAGCACACATGACCAATGAAGATACATGGTTGGCAAATGAGCATATGAAAATACGCTCGACATCATCAGCCATTAAGGGAGGGAAAGTTAAAAAAAAAAAAAACACAATGAGATACTGCTACATGTACTAAAGAGTTAAAATTAAAAGATAAAAACCAACACTGACGATACGAAGAGCTGGTGAAGATGCAAGTAACTGAAACTGTCATACTTGCTGGGAGTGCAACACAGCACCAGCACCTGGATACAGACCCTCGGAGCAAACTTACTATTCATAATCACCAGCAACTGAGGTTGACGAAATGTCCATCAACAGGTGAGTGAATAACCGTGGGGCATGTATACAGAGAAGCAGCACCCCACAAAGAAGAGAAGGAGCTTCAGCAACATGTAGCAAAATACAGGAGTGCCAAAGGCCTTAGGGTATTGCAGGACTCCATTTCTTTGACATTCGGGAAGCAAAACTATGGGCCAGAAAACAGACCAGTGCTTTTGGGAAGGAGAAAAAAGCAAGTGTGAGCTCGGAGTGGTTTGCTCCCGGGTGTGAACAGGGAAAGGGACAGAGCAGAGGAGAGCTTGAGTGAGTGAAGATCCTCCAGTGCCTTTGGCTTACAGGGCTCCAGTGCCCACAGGGAGGGGCTGTCCTGCCCATATAGTCAGTTTGGCCTTTGACTGGCATTTCCTCTGAGCCCCTGGGACATAAAGCTGTTGTAAGAATTAAAGGAGCTGCTGAATATAAAGCTGCTCATTGTGTGGCTGGAAGGACAGGGATCCTGGCAGGCAGCAGGCTAGTCTGTTTCCCTTCATTGCACAGAACTATTTTACTTTACTTCTTCAAGCACTGGTGAGCGATGCCACAAAAAAACACACATGCCGATATTGCTTAAGCTAATTTAAGACTAAAATTCAGTGCTGGGGACATAGCTCAGTGGCAGAGCACTTGCCTAGCATGCAGGAGGCCTTGGATATTTTTAGTCCCCAGAACCACAATCAATCAGTCAGTCAATAAATAAATAAATGAATTTTGCTGCAGACTTTCTGAAATCCACAAATTTAAAATGAAGGAAAATTCCAATCAGTGTTGGCTACTGGGTAAGGATTAATTGGTAGATAACTGGTAAGGATTACGTGGGTAGATTTTGTTTTTTTCTATTCATCAAGTGCCTCTTTTGCCCATGGATCAGATCCCACTCTTGGACAGTGCAAAAGAATAAACGCAAATAGCTAAAACTTCAGAACTGTTATGGTTTGTCAAGAGACATGGGACTGGCAGGCAGAGAACACCGACCTGTGGAAAATGTTGGTGTCCTGAACGTCCAAAAGCAATCACTCAGCCTGATGTAATGATGTATCCTGGAGTTCTCTCTTAAGTCCCATGTGACCACGGAGCCATGCACAGTTCCCGCAAACAGCAGGAATGCTTTGAAAGGGCTGAAGCAGCAGCACGTGACCTAGAAGGAAAGTGCAGAGAGCTGATGGCTGAAAAACCTGACAACAGTGCTGACAGCAGTTAAGTCTACTGAGCATGGTGTTCAACACTTTACATAGAGGAATGCTCATACCAACATTTTCCCTCCAGCAAGCTGTGAGGCATGAGTAAAACATGGAGTGCTGCACATCAATAAAGTTTAAGTTGCTGAGTGCTGGTTTTCTCAAGTGGAAAGCCAGATAACAAAGCCGCCTGTAGGACTGCTATGATCACAACCATAAAGTGGGGTACATAAAACATGCTCAATGATATCTCCACTCAACACAACTAGTTGTGCCTCAACAATGGGAATTCCATCCCTTGTCATTTTATTTATATCTTATGTTGAAAAGTTCTAATTTTCAAGCCCCTACAGCTGACACATGAAAAGATGACCTCCACACTTGGAGAAATCAGTGGTTTTGAGGTCAAACCAACCAAAAAGGAAGCAAATGTGAAAGGCATCAGTCGCACTGGACCTGCTGGGGACTGAGGACCAGAGACATACAAAGAGGCAAGGCTTGGCATCAGTGCCTTTCAGAAATCAGGAGGACAGTAAAACTCAGAAACACCAGAACCCATGCAGTGCAAGCAAAAAGTGAGCTTCTGGGGTCCCAGAGCCATAGTTAGGTGGCCAATGTGCTCATTACACCTGTGACTACATTCATTTCCTGATTCTCAGCGGTCCCAAAGGCTGCTCTGTGATAACCCTGGCCCCTCAGTCTGAGTTGATCCTTGGAATTTCTAAAGTCAAAAAAAAACATATCTCTATATCTGTCACCTGTGTAGAGCTGAGGCCACTGAAAAACAGGGAATGACCTCCATGCCACCCTCCTCCCAACAAGCGTACAACTGTCTTCCTCTGTGTACCTTGGACTCACATATCAGAACCTTCTGGGGCCCTGAAGGCTGCCAAATGTCCCACACGCAGAGAAGGTGTTTGCTGTCCAGCAACGGGGCGAAAGCCTTCTCAGGTAAGTCATGAATAGAAACCACCATCTGCCTCTGTACTCGAGAGGCATGCAAACAAGATACTTTCCGATCTGGAGTTAAGAAAAACATTTGTGCATTTTAACCATCTGACGGAATCCATATAAAATTAATATACTTCAGAACATTCAGATAAATTCTAACTTAATGAAGCTGAACAGATGTGAATCTGGGTTTTTATAAATGGCCACAGCCATTTATTGTGTCCACCCTGACCTTGGGGTTTGGCTGCAGAGAAATCCTTCAAATGTGGCACAGTGCAACCCAGGACTACTTGCTTCCTCTCATCTGCCAGCCGTTGGTACAAAATCTAAGCTCCCTGAACACATGTGTGAGAGTCAGAAGCTCAGGGTGGCAACCCTTTGCCTTGACTCACTGTTAGAATGCTCAGTTCTCTTTACAACATCCTCAAAGTATGGCACAGCACTTCAAAAACAGGTTCTAGGACTTAAGTGTTGGCAGAGCTGCCTTGCCCCAAGAGCTTTCACACATTACAGCAACTGATGGCTATATGTGGCTGACCTGAGCACTATACACACCCAGCAGCTCTTCAGTTTGCTGCATACAATTCTTGACACTATCCACCTCAGGGTCAAACTTTCCTCACACATCAGGGAACCCCCACTGCTTCCCCACAGACACAACTGCTAGGTTTCAGACCCCCCTCAAGCACATGGGAGGACCTCTCCATGCACAGGACCACCAGTGGAGTGTTTCTATACCAGTTAGCAAGTGCAAAAGTCTGCTGTCTTTTTCACTGGGCTCCTATTGTCAATGTGACACTAGGAAGACTTTTCCCCAAGTTCTGTAAGTTTCACTGGCAGTTTTCTAGAGTGTGGTGATTTTTAGGAACACACATCATGTTCAGTATCAGTGCCACAAATGGGACCCACTGCTACCACCCTCTGCAGGAAGCTCCCCTTCCTGCTCCCTCCACCCCCATCTCTTGGGTCCTCATCCCCTCTGGTTCTCACAGTGTGGCCCTCTCCACCACAAGCCATCCTCACTTCTCTCCTTAGAATTTATCCCTTTGTAAAATACCATGTAATTTACATGTTTACTGTTTGAAGCCATCTGACCCACCAAAATATAAGTTCCAGGATTTCTGTCTGACATATTCACTCCTGAATCCCAGCCCCAACAGTGGGGCCAGAGTACCAGAGACACTGGCTGCCTAAATGAAAGAAAAACAGGCATGGCTGGTGCCTTGGATCATGACATGTTTCAGAAGGGGTGACGGTAATGAGTGGGTGCTATGAAGGTTGGGGTGCCAGTACCTTGACCACAGATTGGAAATAATGTGAGACGACTCTCAGTTCACAGAGAGAAAATGAGCTGTTGCTCTGACAGCTCCTTCTCTTCTCTCTGATCTCACTTTCCTTCTTTTATTTCAATATTTACTTTACTAAAACACAAAAATAAGCAAACAAGAATCCTCTCCTGTCACATGTAAGAAATCCTTTAAGAGCAAATGTACATTAATTTTGATGAAAGATTCTAGGTATATCCGCTATCATTGCTCTGCATTGCTCCTGAGAACAGTCCATGATCCACTGTTTATTTGAGTTGGTGGCTGTGGGACTGTGGAAGTCAGTATTTCCAGGGCTACATGTACAGTGATTTATTATTTTCTAAAGAATGATGCTTTTGTTCAAGATAAACAAAATACTCAAAGAATATGAAGTTTTTTTTAAATAGCAATGTCATTTTTGCTGCTGTATAGAGAAATGTACATGAGTCAGTGTCTAAACAGCAGGCAGGACTGACTGCCCAGGTTTCACATGAGACACATGCACATGTACGCCCTGATCCATTGAGGAAGAGCTCACTGATGGGCCTGCCCCCCATCTTGTCTTGGCTTCACACAAACCAGGACCACAACTGCTATAAGCTGCCTCACTGGCCACTTTATTGAGGGGCAAAGCTGTTGTTAGTAGGTAAAGAAATTTAAATTTAGTTTTGCAAATGCAGTTTGCTTAAACTGAGTTTAACAGTTACATGCAGTTACAATCTGTGTTCAATACTAGACAGTGCATTTGTCTAGCACTGTCTGTCTATAACCATGCATTAACGTAGAACTCTAACTGAGCAGATCTGTGTTAAAGGCTCTTTACCTATATCTACATAAAAATGCAACTTCGGCCTAAACTGCTATTCCAACTCTTTCTTCTATTTTAAGAAGTCAGAAAAAACCTGACTAACTGGAAAAAAAGATTTAAAACAAATACAGACAACCTCAGTTTCACTCATTTAAAATAATTTCACTTCAGCCCTCTTCTAATCAGCTTTTATGCAAATCATTAATCATGAATTGAGTAAACACATTAACAAGAAACATGGCCATTCACTTTGCAGTTCTGCAGAAACTGAATCTTTCTGTTTTGTGTACAACAAACCCCATATTAAAGATCATTATTTCAACTAAATGTTTAGTAGCTTGATTTAAAACCACATTGAGAAAGGCCTCTTACTTTGAAGGAATGGCAAGCTGGTGTTCAACTGAGAGGAGCTGTCACTAATGCACAGAGTGCTGTCTTCAGCCCTGAGACTCCAGCTGGGTTCAGCTGCCAAGCGGTCCTCTTCCAGCAAAACAGCCACCACCTTTCAAAGACAAGTGGGAAGGCTATCTTTTTTTAAAAAATACCTATTCATGGTCTCTATTTCTGCAAATAATGCTTAACTCCATCACATCAAAGTAACTTATGAATGCATTCTTTGCTGCACAGTAATAGAAAATAAAAGAAGAAAAATTAAAATAAATGCCACAGGATAGCCATTATTTCACTTAAAATTTATTTTCACCAAATATATACTGTTGAAAGTCCAGAGAAAGAAAAGGGCTGAATATCCAAAACCCTTAAATGAACATGGTCATAGAGAAGCATTAGGAAAACACTACCTTCTTTCTCATTGGGATCCTAAGTCAGTGTTAAACCACAGCAACTAACAGAGTATATCCTTAGGATGTGCAGAGGGAAGAAAGAGGATTGAAAACTGACAGGAATGTGGTAAGGAAGTGGAACCTGATGAGAACGGTTTGAGGAAGGCAAGAACTGCTTCGTGAGAACTGACAGTATTGTCGTGCGGAAGTGGACAAGGTTTAGTGAGGACAGGTTTGGCATGAGGAAGTGGACAATGGTCAGAGAAACAACAGGATTGGTGTTAAGGAAGTTGAAAGGGCTTAGTGAACAAGGTTTAGTGACAACTGACAGGACTGGTGTGAGAAGTGGACAAGGTTTAGAGAGGACTGAGAGGACTGTGTATAAGAAAGATAGGCCTTTAGTATGGACTGAGGCCTGTGAAATCAGGGATGTCCCCTGGATGACCCTTGTCTAGTGTTCTTTCATCCCCTATCCATCCAATATTCCCATTCCACCTACATTATAACCAGGTTCTGTCTGTTCTCATTTCCCAAGAGTGTTACCTTAAATCAAAATCTTATAATAATAAAGAGCTATGTCGTTTTAATTATACTTCTAAACCACAGATCCCTACATATGAGTATTATTGGGACAAAGCAACTATCAGGTGTTCACAGCAGACTTTGATGCATAGGCTCAAAATAATTCAACATGTGAAAGTTTAACAATGTTTATTTCTGCTCTGTATTTAAATTCTGAGCTCATATAAAAATTTTATGAGACAACTGAGATTTTAACCTTGACTTCATACTTTAATATATTCAAAATTATTATGAATAATATTTTTAACGATTATTTTCTTTTAGTATTTATACTGAAATATTATGCAGGAAAAGTTACGATGATTGAGATAAGTTTAATAATAGTTTATCATGTGGATGGTAGGATAATGGGGTAAGTAACAAAGGAGATGTCAGAGGAAATGAATTGGCCATGAGTTGATATCAACTGAAGTACCTGGGGCCTCACAATACCAGTCCCTTTATCTCTGTAAGTATTTTGAAAACTTCCATAACCAGTTTTAAAAATAGTGAATTTATTATATTCAAACACCACAGGTCTAGGCCTGCTTTGTCAACAATATGTTTGGGTTAACAGTTATTAACCCAAACTCACAGCTTTCAGTGATATACACTTACCCAGTGTCATCTTGCAGACAAGGGCTTAATAAATGTACCACTGATAAGTTGTAAGAAAATAATACTTGAAAAGGAATAACTAGTTTGGATTTACCTGAGCTATAAAGGCTCTAAGATTTTAGTAGCAACTGAGTTTCTATAAATAGTGCAACTCTGAGCACTTAAATAAGCATGTAACATGACTGTACCTGACATGCTGCCCGGAGAAAGCTAGATAACCTTGGAGTATTGATCTTTGGTACAACTGTGGCATCAGAGACAACTCTTTCTTCACTACCTAGAAAACAGTTAAATTAAACCAACAAAGTTGACTCTAAAATAGTCATGCCTTACACGTCTAGAGTTCACGGAGGTCTTACAGATAAGTATGAAGAGTCCTAAAAGGAAATGCACTGTGTTCTCTAGATCTATTTGCATATTCAGTTACACAAGTCTATCAGCTGATATTATTTTAAATGTGTTAGGAAAGCAGTTAAATGAACCCATTTATTATCTAAGTGTTTAGACATTCAGATCAGGGAGACTCATCACTTTCTTAAGGTAAGGCTTACCTAAGGACAGGGAATTCCCACCATAGAGAAACAAAAACAACCGGAAAAGTATTTAACAGGCAAAAGCTTCAGAGTACCTAGCAGAGTACCTAGCAGGTATTCCATGCACTCCAGGGACCTATGGTCTATATTGATGGGGCATACTTGCAGAATGAACTTAAAAAATGAAAACTGTATTTTGATAAGAACAGACGTGTCCCACACGTCTAGTTGAAAGGTGGCTGTTTGGAATGTGGACTCTTTCCCTCTGTGCTACGGATCTGGGTCTTGGCCCAGACCAGGGTGCAAGGGCAAGTTCAATCTTTCCTGTACTTCAGCAGCTCTAATCTTGGTTGTTGGCAAAAGCTAGTTTGTTTCTTTAAAGGAATACTGGGCATTTTCATAGTCTTATACTAACAGTCACACCAAAGAGAAACACACAATGAGGAAAAAAAAGAAAGGAAGTAAATACGAAACCAAAAACATTGTAAAGATAGTTGACATTTGCCACTCGCAAGCAGGAAGGTGTTACCTCCGAAACAAGGGAACTTTCTCCTGGATGCTGGGTCCATACTTCCCGGGTCTCTATGTCTTCAGTCTGAATTTCCCTTTCAACATTATCTTCATTATACTGAACATATGCCTTAAAAACAAAGGTATCCTGGGATTACATTTGGTTTCAATTTCAGAGCAACTTGTTTACTATAAATAAAAAGTTACAATTTTGTAAGTTAATAAAGTTTAAAAGTTAAGCAGTCTTTTGCTTGTGTCAACATAAGTACCATGGCATAAATAATGATCTTGCAAAGACTGCTTATGCCAGAAAAATTTGATAACTATAGGCCTTTCAAAAGTGTTTCCTGAAAGTCATACCAAACAACTTAGCTTTAGTTTGAAAGGACTGCCCTGAGCCTACCCACATGCTGTTTTCTCTAACATGCTGATTTTGCAAAAGCAAACTTAATTTTTGTATTTCAAGAAGGCATGTGCTTCAGTAAAGACAGTTTTGTTACTAATAGCTTTAAAATGAGGAAAACAAGTAAAGAAGCTAGATATCTATTCAAAGTCAGAGCGAATCAGCTGTAGAACTAGCACTGAAAATGAACTTCCATTTCATGTTGTGACCTTCCTCTCAGCAAAAATTATTAGACATTGAGTGTACAAACAGACAGCATGAAGACTGAGACTACCTCAGAACCAAAGAAAAACAGGAAGAAATGACAACTGATGTCACAAATTTTATAGCTTTAGCGTGAGATTAGACACCTCATGACTAACTGAAAACACTGTGGGGAAGTACTCAGTTCTATGGGTTAGACTGTAATCACTCTGGAAAAGGACAGGAAATTCAGTGTAGGGAGGGACTGACCTGGAAAACAGGCCTGACATTGGGGAGTGTCAGGTAGGCTGGAGAGAGGGCAGGGAGGAATAGCATAAGCAAGACAGAGAATGGCCTAGCACGGCAAGACCAGGGATCGAAAGGCACTAGAGAATCACACAGAAGTGACTGGAAACTAAAGAGAGTCCAGCTGAGGAAGAGCACGGGAAGTGTTACACACTTTGAGATCCTCGAATTATAAGGACTTATATAGGTAAGTGTGATTGCTGCGTACTCATATGGAACCCAACAAATCCAAAGTTGGCATTCTGTCTGGGGTTAAACAAATCATCTCACTAGGTAAAGCTGCACTGAATGCTGGAACTGCCGCCCAACCACTGAACCCCATCACATGGGACATTTATTCCCGCTCCTAAAGGTTTGGGGCGTCTCTAGACTGCGTTTACACCACTGCCCATTAATGAGTGCCATTTCTCTTTCTAACAACATCACAGACCACTCCCAAATTTTAACATTCTAGAACGATACAAGAAGGCACAACCCTCTTGTACTTCACTTGCATTTTGTCATGTGCTCAGCACATGCTGTACTTACCTGCTTGGTATTTTTTTTCCCAAAGTTCCTGATATACATGTCGTATTCATTTATTGGAGGCAGATCCAAGAGAGAGAACGTGAATGAAAAATCTAAATCGATAAGCCGGAGTAGTTTTGCACTTCGTGTCCTTTAAAACAAATTGGAAGTGAGACCAAAGCTAAACTGAGTAATATTCAGCAAGTGTGGTGGGTGGGAAGGGGGCCAAAGGAATCTTAGGAATAAACGTAGGTAATTGGCAAAAACTTTTGTTTGGAGTTTGAGGTACTTAAAAGTTATTTAAATAACTAAGTAGGAGCCAGAGGTGGAGCTCAGTGGTAGAGTGCTCAGCTTGTGTGAGGCCCTGGGTTCAACCCCAGCCCCACACACACGCACACACGCACACGCACACACACGCACACACACAATAAAAGACAGCCACACACATGGATCAATGATGCACATGGATCACTGTGCCTGAAGCTGACATGAAGTAGAGTTATAATATACATATGCCCAGAATTTCCAAACAGCAGTCCACACTGCTTTACTGTGTCTTGGTTACAAGGGTGACATTTCCGTAACATGAGCCAAGCTGTGACAGGCACATGGTCCAGGTTCTCAGCCCACACTGTCCCCGAGGCTGCAGCAGCCTGTATTTCCCACAGAACCTTCACTTCTGGCAGCATCTGACACATTAATAACCCACTGGCCACAGGCTTCCAAGACATGGCCTCTACTAGCCTCCTCCAGCCTCACCTACAACTCCTTGCTCATCGCCTATGCTGATTTCTCCTCTTCTCCAGACACAAGCTCTGCAAGGGCAGAGGGTTTTGTCTCTTTCATTTGCTAAACATATACTGAACAAGTGAATGAACAAATGCTCCTCCAAAAATCCAGGCATCTCAATAACTTTTTTTTTTCAGTATTAGGGCTTGAACTCAGGGCCTTCACCTTGAGCCACTCCACCAGCCCAATATTTTGTGATAGGGTTTTTCAAGATAGGACCTCATGAACTATTTGCCTGAGCTGGCTTCAAACCACCATCCTCCTGATCTCTGCCTCCTGAGTATCTAGGATTACAGGTATGAGCTACTGACGTCCAGTTTTCAATAACTTGATTTGCTCTGGCCCTCTCCTCCTCCTCTCTCTCGGGGTCTTCACCAATAACTGTCACCCTTCCAACATCTTATTTCCTGACTATCCTCCCAACTTCTCAACTTACTGCCTCCAGTCTCTATCTCCTAAAATACTTCAACCACATGGCACCTACAAGTGAAGAGCATTCCACTCACAGTGGCCCATCACACTCTCTCCATACATGTGGCACAGGCAGGAGATCAGCGCCTTGTTGCCATACATTCATCTACTGGCCCCAGTGTCACTTATGGAGCTATCCTCTCCATACTGCACCACTGCAGCAGCACAGAAATCAGTGACCACATGTGTCTAGGTCTGTGCCTGAACTCAATCTGACTTTCCTCGTGCCAACTACCAATCTTCACAATTAACCTTGACGTGTAACTCCCAGGCCTCTATGTTTGTTCTTCTCACTGTCTCTACTATTCTTGACTTGGCATTTCTAAAGAAAGTTTATAAACACCCTAAAATGCACGAATTTGTTCATGAACACACACACACACAGATGAGGTTTCTGTTGGAACAGTGTTGACCCTATACTTAATTCTGAAGAAACTGACATCTTTGCCGTATTAGGACTTCCAGTCTGTGACTTCGATTCGTGGCCTTTTATTTAGGTCTCAGATCCTAACTCCTAGTGTGTCCTAGTAATTTACTGAACATCACACTCTATAGAAAAAAAAACTAGAAACTTTGGATATTGCACTTTTCCTCCACAAATTGTTTAATTTCCTCATGGCAGGCAGAAGACAGGTTGGTCACGCTGAGATTAGTAGGCATTGGGATGACCTGAGGTTGATTTCAGATTTGTCCTTCTTCCTCAACCAAAGCCTGGGGTTTCACCAGGGATTCTCTTGCTTGAACATCCTAAGCTCAGCTCCTGTCTCCTCAGCCCTGCACAAATATCACAACTTCTCTGCTGTCACTCTCTGCTGCCTGTAGACATATGCAGTCCCTGGAGTGGTCCATGTGGCCTGCTCACTTCTCTCAGGATCAGCAACTTCAGCTGCCCTGGTGCTACTAGTGTATTCAATCCACTGACTGGGGGATTGCAGGCTACTGCTGTTTTGAATCCAGCTTTTATAGTCATTTCTAGCTGGAGGTTTCTGTGATACAAACTGCTGCATCACAGAAGGAGGCAGAAGTCCTGTCCTCATTCTTTTCGTTCACATCACAGGAACAGTCTCAGGATACTGTTTGCTCCTGAACAGTATCCACCATTCTGGAAGATGATCAATCCATCAAAGAAAACTGCCACTACAGAAATGGGGCCATGACCTCATTCTACAGCCTCATCAACACTTTAATCATTCTCATCTTTTAACACCATGCCTATTCCACAAAGAAAGCATCCGTCCTTTGTGTGAACACACATTTCTCTACTGCTCATTAAACAGAACACAGATCATTTGTCTACTGACAGCCACTCAATACCCACAACAGTTCTGCTTTCCTGACTGGATCTCAAGTTTATATGACCTATGGCCAGAGAGATATTCATCTTGGCTAACTAAATTATGATAACACTTTATGCATTAGTGATAGTAAACCTCTATCATAAACTTTGCAAAAACAGTCCCAATTTGTCAGTTATCATTAAATTTTGTCAAATCCATGGACTAGTGTAACTTTCAGAAACTTAATTTTTGAGGTACAATCCACTAATTTATATTTAAAAATTGCTTTTATTCTGAGGAAGTCCTTTCCTGTATTGAAATCATGACTTACATTATCTGTGCTCATTTCTCATTTTTATCATTTGGAATTTATCTTTGGTATATTATAAAACAGGTATCTATTTCCTCCCAAAGTTCAAGTCAATGTACTAAATACGTATCTAGTGGAATAAGTGCTCCTGCAGTCTTTTCCTATCTGTACCTGTGTTTCCTTAAAAACACAGAACTCATTCACCGTGCTGTAAAGTACTCCAACATCTTCAACATTCTCAACAAAAATCAGCCTTTGATTTCTTAAATTGCTCAATTAAAATCTTTAATATAATTTTTGAACCAAAAAAACAATACAACATAGGTATAGATGTATACATGACATACCACAATATAACCAATATCCTTGGACTTGCTTAACCCAGGACTAGAAAACTGGGGCTTTGTCTACTGAGGGTTCGTTCCTCAAACATCCCAGTCCCCACTGCCAACAGCAATTTCTATATTGAATTTTTGCTTATTTTCTCGCTTCTTAAAATAAAATTTTATCTCATATTTATATATGCCTAAACAACAGACAACAATGATCATTTATGGATTTTTAAAAATTGTGATAAAAGTCATACATGTTGGTACACACCTGTAATGAGACCCTGTCTCAAAATTTAAGATAAAAAAGAGAAGACTGCATGGGCCCAACTCAAGTAGTAGAGTGCTCACCCAACCTGCACACACCCTGGGTTTAATCTGTACCACTACAAAAGAAATTAATAAATAAAAACTATTTAACCATATGTAGCTTTCCGAGAATTTAAATCAGATTTTTAAAAAATCTAGTCATAGTGTTAGAAACTTTAGTTTTACAACCTCAATAGGAAGCCAAAAATATAAAAGCGACAAAAACTGCTGTGAAACATTTAACTTTCCATTCATTAATAATGAATCATTAATATGTACTTCTTCATTTAACAAGTAATATTGACTAGTAAGACTATAATGGAGCTAGATGATACTGATTTTAAACCAATTTTGAAAGTTTATTCTTTCAATTTGTGCTGCGATCTCATTTCTTATTTAATGTAATAGACTTGACTAGAGAACATGTCTTTAGTAAAGATTCCCCAATTTTCAGTATCTGCAGACTTGGGCTCTGGCATCCAGCAAGTCTGGGTCCAAAACCACCCCTACTTCTGCAATTGTCAGTCTTCACTGTCAGTCATATTGGACTAAAAAGCACCTGGGAGGCTGGTGGAGCACACCTCTGGGCATGCCTGTGAGGGCCTTCCCAGAGATGTAGGTCTCTCTCTCTCTCTCTCTCTCTCTCTCTCTCTCTCTCTCAGGAATCAGTGAGACCCACCTATTACAGGCCAAGGATGTAGAGGTTTAACTCATTGGAAAGCCTTGCTTTGAGAAGAGAGCTCTGGGATTCACACAGGGCTCCCCTACATTCAGCCACAGACACTCAGAGGATGCCTCAGTCATGGTCCAAGGGGCCTGGCTACTGCTCGAGCTGGTGGAAGACCTTGGCGTCTTTCACATGATGCTAGGTTTGCAGGCAAACTACAAATACAAGAGTTATGGGGTTGCAGAGGCTTCTACCAGGTTTCTAAGGAAGGCCTGGGAGGTCAGGCAATGTGTGGCTGGGTCAGGATTCCTGGAGCATTCCTGGAGCAGCCCTGGAGGGTGCAATGTGTGAGCTGCAGTGAAGACACCAAGAGGCTGGAGATGACAGTAACACGGAACATATGCTGAGGAAAGCCACAGGCAGCAAAGAGACCTGACCCAAGAGAGAGGCCATGTGGGTGGCCAACAAGGCCACAGGGGTGAGACTTCCCAAGCCCTTGGGAGTGCATACCATGCCTCCATGTGCCCCCACTACCGGACATGGAGCTAGGGGATTTATTCTTTAGTCTTGCTGTGGCTCAACCCCTCCTATCTATGCCCACTTTCCTCCCTTTTGGAATGGGAATGTTTGCCCTGTCCCAGCATGTATTGGAAAAATGCAACTTGCTTTTTAAACTTATCAAGTACTCACAGCAAGAGTTTGTCTTAAGTAATAAGAAACTTTGAACTTGGACTTTTGAACAATGTTGGAACTATTAAGATTATGGGGACTCTTGGAGATGAATTAGATGCATTTTGCATTATGAGACAGACATCAGCCTTTTGGAGCTAGCAGTGGAATGTTATGGTTACAGAAAATGTCTGGAGTGTCAGGCTGACAAGGGGTGGACTTATGATAGTTAATCTCAATCATCAACTCCAATAGTTTGAGAAGACCTAGGAGATCAGTAAAGTACACCTCTGCATACATCTGAGAGGATTTCCTAAGGGGGCTGGCCCACCCTGAAGGTGTGGCAACATCCCATAGTCTGGGTCCTTGGTGGATTAAAAGGGGAAAAAGAAAAGTCCACTAACACATATATTCTCTCTCTGCTTCCTGCCCACCATGAGGTGAGCTACTCTACTCCACCATGTCCTCCCCACCATGACAGACTAAAACCTCTGATACCATGAGCCCAAATAAATCTTTCCTCCCTTAAGTTGCTTGGCTGAGGTTCTTTGGCACATCAACAAAAGGCTGACTAGCACAACTGATCAACAAATGATGACTTTGAGCCTCTCTTCTTATTTGTAAAAAGGGGCAGGGTAAGATTCTGGGATAATACACATGAAGCAAGGGCCTGGTGGCAAAAATAAAAGCAGTTACTCAATACACGTGCTCTACCCCATTCATTGCTCTCACTCATTGCCAGCTGCAGCACTCTCAGTCCTTGCTAACTATAGTCCTCTCGTCACTAATAGCTATAGTCCTCAGATGAGATGCTTCCTCATCTGAATATCTCATGCAGTGATGTTCTACCTCAGGGCTCCCTTCACCACCACACAGAGTTGCAGTGCAACATGAGCCAGAATCACTGCAATCACTGCACTCAGTGGGTTTTTGCCACCAGATTTGCAAATGTGTGACTGTGTTTCTGCTTCAGCTAAACCAGGCCATGGACTCCCAAGGTGTCTCCTCAACAGTCAGCCTGGAATTTACCACAGTTGTTACATGCAAGCCCCTACTACAAAACACACACACTTGCATAACATCTGAACACAAAGAACTATAGTGCAAATTGAAGAATATATCTGAGCAGTCAATACTGCAAGAAATGAAAAGCTCTGTTTGAAAAGTATGTCAAAGAAAAGCATAAAAAAAGCACTGCAAGACTGGGAGATGGCTCAGAGGTACAGTGCCTGCCTAGTGTGCACAGGTCTTCGGTTTGATCCTCAGCACTACACACACACAAACCCATAATGCCTTGGAAAGTTTCCAAATATACCTACTTTTGCTTAAGGGCCTGACTCCGACTCTTTTGACGGTGTGAGGCTGTTGCGAAATCCACAAAAATTCCACAAACAGGGGCTCTGGAAGGGGAATTGTTTGCATCTGTACAAGAAAAAAAAAGGCTATTTTTTTGTGACAATGAAGTATTTCTTTCACGCCAAAAAAAATCAAGAGTAAAAACTCAGAGGCATATATGACAATCATAGTAAGTTTTCACCTGAAATTGACAAATAACAATAAGAAGCCTCCATGAGCACCAGAGTGTTCTCATGCTGACTACATCTAACACTTCCAAAAAACAAAGCAAAATTTACTGACCATCTATTTTATGTACCATCACACTACTGAGTTTTAGAAATATTCAAGAATGTACACAAAGAATGCAGTCCTGCCTCCACCCCACCCAACCTGTGAAAGAAATAAAAATGAAAAGAAAGATTACACATAATTTCCCTTTAACTATGGCTTCATTTTTTGAGATTTCAGTTACCTGCAGTCAACTGTTCCAAAAATATTAAATGGAAACTTCTAAAATAAATAATTCCTCAGTTTAAATTTCATGCTGTTCTGAGTAGCAGAATGAAGCCTCCCACTGTGCTAGCTGAGACATCCAACCTCTGTATGCTGCACACGCTTAGTCACTGAGTAGCTGTTACCAGACCAACTGTCTTGGTGTCAGAAGCCTTGTGCTCAAGTCACCCTTTTTTTACTTAATAACAGCTCCAAAGCATAAGAGCAGTAGCATATGAAGTGCTTCCTCAAAGTGAAAATAAAGTTTCCAACTTAAGGAAAGAAAAAAACCCTAAGCTGAGGTTGCTAAGAACTCCAGTTGGGATGAATCTAGCTATGAAAATGTGAAAAAGAAAAAGAAATTCCCTACTACTTTTGCTGTTGTGCCTCAAGCTGCAAAAGTTACCAGCACATGCATGACAGGGGCCTAGTTAACCTGGAAAGGCATTAATCTTATGGGTGGAAGACATGAACAGAAAATGGTTCCTCGTTACAGCAATGTGTTGTGTCACTAAGCACTGAGCCTACAAAGACTTCAGGAAGCAAGGGATCCCCCGAAATGACAGGCACCAACAATTCACTACAAGTGAGGATGGTTACCCAGACTCAGAGAGAGGTTTTGAGTGGAAAATGTAAAAATCACTGCTGCCGCCTTCCAGCAGAGTGAGGAGAAGAGACACCATTCAAGCAGGTCTTCAACTGCAATGACGTGCCTCTTCTGGAAGCACAAAAAAACCTTTCAACGATGCGAGGCCCCTGGCCATCGACACTGTCTGCCCCTGACATCCAACCATCAACGTCACAGCTCAGTGATCCAGGGCCACCCAAAGCAAGTCCTCCTGGTTGTCTCGTGAGAAGTCAACAGTAGCTAAGGCTTCATCAGTGTCCACGTCCCTCACTTCACTTCAGCTCAACAGGCAGCACTGCATCATCTCCCATCAGCACAAGAAGGGTGAACACGGTACCACAGGACACATGAGAGTGAGAGAGGCCATGTTCACCTGACTTTATCACAGTATATGGTTACGATTGCTGCCTTTATCATTATTGTTGTTAACCTCTCACGGTGCCTAATTTACTAACTAGACTTTATCATAGGTATGTGTGTAGAGGAAAGAACATAGTACACATTGGGTTTGGTACTATCCATGGTTCCAAGCATCTCCTTGGGGTCTTAGAATGCATTCCTCATGGATGAGGGGAGACTGTTGTATTCTAGAGTAAGGGAATTGGGGCTTAAATACAAAATAGCTAAAACAAGTGTAGGGAAAGTGATTATTATTTAGGCTAACTTACCATGTTCACAGGCACACTAAGGACTCTGTGCCAAGCTTTCCTTCCACTTTGGTCATGTGCACTGCTCAACACTGAACAGAGCCAGGACAGCGGCTCTGTCTGGTCACAACATGTATAAGCATAACTAATTAATTGCCTATACTGGGACTGTAAGCTTATCTTGTAAATCAGGCTTATAGAATACCATGCTAAGCATAAACGTAGGGAATGAACAACAACAAAAAGGTTATTCACAAATCTGCTAAGAAAATGAGGAACTGTAAGAATGCAATCTTGTTCCCTCCTCAGCAGCTCAGGGAAGGTGAGTGCAAATGCTCATGAGCCCAATGGTGATATAGGGTCCGGGCACACTGCTGCCTCACAGAGGGATCTGGAGCCAGTCCTGGACCTCAGTCAGCTGACAGAGCCAAAATGAGGCAGGACCTTGCCAGGGCTGGCACCCCTGCCTCAAAGAAATTGCTAGATACAAATTTAAAGAACACTGCAAATATTCCCATCCCCGACAGATTCACTACCTCTATAGCAGGCACAAAACATAAGTGATGGTCTCTTCCAGACTCTCATCCATAGTACTACACGGAACTAATTACTAATTAATTTTATTCATTACTGATGACCTTACAAGGTGATGTAAAGCAATCTATCATCCACTCATATTTCAATATTGTCCTATTCTAAGTTTAGTACTATTCTTAGAGTTAATACTTTATTAGATGTCAGTTTTCCCTTTAAGTCATCTTAAAATATTTACTCCTACTTTTCCAAGTAGCTGGCACATCATGCCTGGAGGCCAAGAACTTAGGAAAAATATAGCCCTAATTTCCTAAGGGAAATTCCTGGTAAAAAGGCTGTCGAGGTGTGCTTCCTCACAGACCAAGTCGGGTGGCATCTCTGAGCCTCTGTAGCTCTGATCTGGCCTGCTGCCCACCTCACGAGGCTCTCCTCTGCTCTACTGGTGTCCCTAAGCCTCTGTGGCACTGACCCGGCCTGCTGCCTGCCCAGGTGCTCTCCTCTTCTGACACGTGGCCTGAGCCTCCTACCAACTGTGACTGCTCCTTGGTAGGAATTCAAGGAGGGCACTACCAGGAAGAAGCAAAGTTTGTGCCTGCAGGTAACACAAGGTAGCACAGGTGTCTGGGCTCAGATGCACGCTGAGGACAGTAACTGTCGGCTCCCAAACACCTCAGGACTCGGTGCTGGGCACAAGATGACCCATAATCCACACAATCCCTTCCCAGGAGAGGCTTGCAGGAGTCAGAGGAACAAGGTATTTGCATCACTGTGCTGCGTGCCCCTGACCAACATTCTGTAGCAACCCACTACATGGTCCATCGCACATGGCGAGCAGTGACTATTGTTTACTCACATACCTGCCCACGATTCCTTTTCAGACTCCATTCGACCTGTCTTCAAAAACAGTTTGGAAGATAACTCGCCAATCCTCTCATTTTCTGCATTGATGGCTCTTTGGATCTCTTGTATCTCCCTTTTCTGGGCTGGAAGAAGTTCTTCACTTTTTTCTTGAGAGTCAGGCTCATTATTGCTATCATCATCATCTCCATCACAAACCTCAAAGTCGTCCTCATAGTCCTACAAACAATGTTTTTTGGGACCTTTAAGACAAATGAGCTAAGTAACACTCATGCAGAGAAAAACATTACAATGTGTAATCTGAGATGGGCAAAGTTCTCATCACAGCTAAGGAAGGCTTTATAGCTCACTGGTTTAACCTTATTAAATCATAAATCTGTGAAGACCACTCATTCATTTCTCTGAAAGTGAACCACTAAATACAACCATGCACACTAAAAGCAATTAATAATGTGCAATCATTCCTGCTAAGAATGTGAATCGTGTTTATAGTTCACACACACGTGTTTGGATGCAGTGCAGTGATCAAGTCACTGAATCACATCATATTGTTGTCACCAGTGAAAGCACAGCAAGCTTTCTATAGGTGACAACTAACCTGAATCAAACCTCATCAGACACAGAGCATTCAGAGCAACCCGAAGAGAGAAGGGTTGCTAAGGTACTGTACCTAAGCGATGTGTAAGAATCAGTTATTGTTAAGCTGAGAACACTTTAATCTTTATACATACTACAAAGTCGTCTTCAGCACCAGCTGGGTATTCCTCGGCTCCAGCATTCTCTACATCACTGTCCTCTTTTTCAACCTCCTAGAGGTCAAAATCAAACAGGAAACAAACAAATTCAATCATAAACTTGAATACTGCAAAAAGGTTAGAAAATGTGTATGTTTTCTGAGATTCATTCAATGCTGCTATTTTAAAACATATTTATAAAACTAACACAACTTGAATTCTTATAAGAAATACCATTGTAACAGGAATATGCTGTACATTTCAAAACTACAAGGATTTGAAACTACAAGGATTTTGAAAGCCATAAACAAATGATAAATGTTTGAGAAGATAGATGTGTTAACCTGATTTAAGCATTACACCACGTATACATGTATCAAAGATTGTATGGTACCCCACTAAAATGTACAATTTTATGTTTTTTTGTACTAGTTAAAAATAAGTTCTTAAAAATGTAGCCAAAGGAAGATTTCAAGTATACAGAAGAAGGAGGAGGAGGAGGGAGGGAGGGAAGGAGAGAGGGAGGGAGGGAGCGAGGTAAGGAAGGAATAACCTTGTTAACTTAGAGATGTGACCAAAAAGAGAAATGGTTGATAAACACAGCCTTTTGGGGGGAATGTCTTAAATTCTCAGGACACAAGCCCCTGAATAGTACAACTAAACTGCAAACACTCAGCACCACTTCTCACCAGAAACCCCTCCACTTGTGGTGCACATATCTCTTGTTAAGAGCAGACAGACAAAACTGCACAAGCACAGCATCAGCCCAAGTTCTGCCATGGACACTACATGCCTGGAACACCCCTGAAAGGCCCACAGAGAGAATCAAGGGCAAGTAACACAGACCCTGGCCTGGCACTCAGTACCAGTGTGCTGGGCCACTCACTTCATCACTCTACCAGTAAAAACAGAGGAATTCTCCAAGTCCTGTAGAGGAGTCATGCACAGACGGGCTCTGGAAGTTTTTGGAGGCAACACAGAACATCTTAAGGGAAACAGTTTGCCAGGAAAATAGGGAAGCAACTCTTTCCAGGATTCCAGGCCAATAAGGAAGCAGAAATGCAACAGACAGTTAGAAAACTCCTATTCTACTAGGTGGGGTGGCACACACCTGTAACCCAGCTACTCAGGAGGCAGAGTCAGGATGATCACAAGTGTCCAGGCCAGCCCAGCAAAGTTAGGACACTCCACAAAAGGGCTGCGGGCATGACTCAAGTGGAAGAGAGCCTGCCTAGCAGGCCCTGGCAATTCCGGATAATACGAAAAAAAAAAAAGAAAGAAAGAAAAGAAAACTAGTTTTCTCCAAAAGGTTCTTATTCCTATCTGCATTGCCCTTCCCATGCTGTTCTCTGGTGATCCGCTCACATCACATGCCAGGATCTTCTAAGCCCCTCCTGCCCATCCCCACATGAGATTACAACCTCCCACCAGATACAGCAGACAGTCATAACAACACCCCATGTGTGGAGAGTGGATTATGAGACACCTATGAGAACTGGACATAAGCAAGGTGAGATGCAGCTCACTGCTCTTCCTAAGATGTTTATTTGTAGGCTGAGGTTGGCATAGCCCCAGCCACAGAAGAGGAAAATGCAGAACAGCTGTTTCTCCTAAATTGTGCAGGTTCCTCTTGTTACAATGTCACACCCCTCCCCAAGAACTGCTACTCCACCCTGTTTACCACCAGGTATTAAAGACTGAAGGAGGACGCAAGGCTTTTGCTTTTGGTTTTTGCTTCTAACTTTTCTGGCTTTTGGCTTTTTGAGGGGGAAGGCTTTTTGAATGAAAAGAAATTGCTGGAGAGAGAATGCTGAAGGGGGAAAATGAATTGCTGAAGGGAAAAGGATTGCTGAAGGAGAATTGCTAAAGACGGGTTGATAGAAAGTCTGTACTGAGAACTTTATACACAGGCTTTAGAAAAGCTAAGCTAAAGAAAAGCCAAAGAGAACATGGGACAGTGCAAGTCTGAGCACTGAGGCTTTAAGAAAGCTGCAGAGAGAACATGGAACAGTGCAAATTGGAGGGCAAAGACTTTAAAAGAGATTATTCTAAAGAACAGCTAAGAGAAAACATGGGACAGTGTGAGTCTAAGGAAAGAGACTTTAAAGAACAGAAAAGAAGACTTTAGAAGTGAGGTTTTAAAGAATAGAAAGAAGAAAGACTTTGGAAGAAAGGTTTTAAAGAATAGCAAAGGAGTAAGGCATTAAGGAATAAAGATAGAGAAAAGAAGCAGAGTAAATGAAGAGATTACTAGAGAAAAGAAGCAATGAGGCTGTTGTGCATCTACACCCAAGCGCCCAACACACCTGGCCCCAACTTTCTGTTTGTCTATCCTGGTCCTTTCTGAACCTCCTGTCGCTGTCCAGTTAGGCCCAGTTAGGTTCAGTAATAACCAGGAGAGAGAGCAAGCTCACACCACCCATGTCCCACCAAAGGAGTTGCGGCTTCATCCTGGAGTTGGGGAGTCTGTGATAGAATCATCTGTTCCTGGGCAGGATAGACGCAGGGTGCAAAGGAGGTGGAACTAGAAGTCAAAGGGCCACCGTAAGAGTCCAGGAAAACAATAGGGACTGGGGCTTAAAGATAAGAAGTAAAATGACCCTGAGGTATCCAGGTTTAGAAATGGGCAGATGTTCGTGTCATCCACAGTAAATAGACACGGGAGGGAGAGCAATTTCAGGGTGGGTGGGAAAGAGGACAAGTCAGTGTGGATGTAGTGCAGTAAGTGTGATAGAGAGGAAGATTCAGAAGATGAAGATACAAACTTGGAAAGAAGCCAGTTAACTGTTCTATCACACAACCCACCAATTAGGAATGTGATCTTTTACCTCTAGCACCTAATAGTAAACAGTACCATGAAATTGATTTATTATGCCACAAATGTCTAGTGCCTTGAATTAGGACATTCAGCTCCAACTTCCCAAATATAAACATATTTTACTCTTCCCATCTACACTCCTAAGACCAAAAGATTAAAGCATACTTCATTGCCTAGGACCAGGTGGATTTTGAAGATATCAATAAAGTTATAAGCATCTAGCCAGGCTAACTACAGAAAAAACAGAAAGAACCCAAATGATCAGTGTCAGAAACAAAAAAAAAGAGGACAACACTACAGATCCCATGAATACCCGAAGGATGCCCAAAGAATACAATGAACAATTCTGTGCCCACAATTTGATGGGTGAAATGGACTGATGCCTTGAAAGAAACAAGCTGCCAAGATGCACACCAGAGAGACAACATGGATAGTTCCATGTGTCAAAGAGACAACATGGACAACCCATGTGTCAAACGAGGGGACTCCACAGTTAAGAGCCTTCTGCCACAGAAAGCACCAGGCCTGGATGCTGCTAGAAGCACTCGCATGCTGACTTCCACCCAAGGTTTCAGGAACAGAGTACACAATTCTCTGCAGCCATTCAGAAGACAGAAGCAGAGGGAGCACTACCCTAAAGCCAAACCCACAAAAAGACATCACAAGATCAACATTTGTCATGAATATAGATACAATTATCCTCAACAAATGTATACCAAGTTAAACCCAACAATTTACAAAGAGAATTATACACCAAGATCAGCTGGATTTATCCTCGGTAGGCAAGGCTAGTTAAACTTTCAAAAATCAATACAGGATTAGAGTGCAGTTCAAGTGATAGAGTGCCTGCTTTGTAAGCTTGAAGCCCTGAGTTCAGACCCCAGTTCCACCAAAAAAAAAAGCAAAAACTGATATAATCTGCTAGCTGTGGTAGTGCACATCTTTAATACCAGCACTTGGGAGGCTGAGGAAGGAGGATCACATGTTCAGAACCAGCCTGAACTACGTAATAAGATCCTGTCTCAAAAACACATATAACACATCAAATCAACAGGTTAAAAAAAAAGTCACCTTATCAATAGATGTAGAAAAAGAATATGACAGTATCTAGCACCCCTTCATGATAAAACTCAGCAAACCATGAGGAGAGCACAGCTTAACTGAACAAAGAAGAGCCAAAAAAAAAATCTCCAGCAAACATCACATTCAGGTAGGAACCCAGACTTTCCACTGAGATCAGGGACAGAGCAAGGATGTCCCCATTCACTAATCTGAGCTAATGCAGCAGGACAAAGATCTGACAAAAAGAAAGAAAAACTATTAAGTGATTAGAGCAAGCTTCCAGGATGAGTTCAATATATAAAGTCAGTCAATTTCCAATATGCCATCAATGAACAAGTAGAACCTGAAATTAAAAACATTTACATTACCACCCCCAATCAAATATTCGGGTGTAACTCTAACAAAGTATTGCAAGATCTACAAAACTCTGCTGAGCACAACTAGAGAACTAGAGAAATGAAGAGCTCTCCCAAGTTCACGGACAGGAAGTCTCAACACCATCAACATGTCAGATCTTCCCAACTTGTTCCATGGATTCAGTGTGATCCCAACCAAAATCCAACAAGTTACTTTCAAATATGCTACTTTAGAGCAGCAAACTGGCTCTAAAGTTGATTTGGAGAGATAAAAAGAACAATCGTTTTTTGCACCACCTGGTACAACTTACCTCAAAACTACAGCAAACAAGACCTTGTGGAGTAGGAAGTGTGGCACAAGTGGTAGAGTGCCTGTCTATCAAGTACAAGGTCCTTGGTTCAAACTCCAGTACCCCCCACCACCAAAAAAAGACTGTGATTGGTACAAAACAGATATACAGATCAAGAGAACTGAACAGAAGCCCAGACGTAAACACACAGGAACACGGTCGACTGATCTTTCACAAAGGAGCAAGAGTAATCCCATGGAGCAAAAACAATGAATCTAGACAGAGATCTCACACCCCACAACAGTTAACTCAAAACGGATCACATCTTCATGTAAAACTCGTAGAGGATAACATAGGGAAAACCCATATGAAACGTGGATTCATAGCTCAGTCCTTGAAAGAAAAAACTGATAACATCAAAATTAAAAACTTCTGCTTTGTGAAAGACAGTATCAAGAGAAAGAGGAGATAAGCCACAGATGGGAGAAAATAATTATAGAAGGTGTATCTGATAAAAAAAAAATGGTTACCCAAAAATACAAAGAACTCTTAAAATTCAACAGTAAGAAAACAAGCAGCCCAATTTAAAAATTGGGCCAAAGACCTTATCAGACACTTTATCAAGTAAGATGTACAGATGATGTGTAAGCATATAAAAAAGGTGCCCCACATCCTACAGCATTAGGTAATACAAAACAAAACAATGAGATTCCACCACACACCTGTCAGAACTGCCAAACCCAGAACACTGGCCGCACCAAGTGCTGGGGGGACATCGAGCCACAGGGAGTTCCAGTCACTGCTGGGGGAGTGCAGCCACTTTGGAGGGCAGTTTGGAGGTTTCTTACACACTAAGTGACTCTCCCCACACACAATCCAGCAAGCATGCTCCTTGGCATCACTAAGTGAGAAGATAGTTTTGTCCACACAGAAACCTGCAAGCAGATGTTAGCAGCAGCTTTATTCACACTTGCCACAACTGGAAGCGACCGAGGTGCCCTTTGGTAGGTGATGGATAAATGTGGCCGATCAGACAGAGGAATATTATTCAGCACCGAAAGAAATGAGCTGTCAAGCCTTGAGAAAACAGAGGAACCTGAAGGCACACAACTAGGTGCCAGAATCCAGTCTGAAAGGGCTACACGCAGGAGGATGGCAACCTGTGACATCTGGAAAAGGCAACACTGTGGAGACAGTGAAAAGCTCAGTGGTTGCCAGGGACTGGGGGAGGGAGGGATGGACAGATGGAGCACAGGGGGTTTGAGGGCAGTGGCGCTATTCTGTATGAGACTGTACTGACGGATACAACTATATATTGGTTCAAACCCACAGAATGTTCAACACCAGGAGCCAACCCTAGTGGAAATGTGGACTTTCTGTGACAGTGACGGGTCCACGTGACTTCATCAAATCCAACAAATGTACACACCAATGCTGAGGTTAACAGAAGGACGGTGAAGAGGACAGGGTACATGGGGACTCTGCAGTTTCTGCTCAATTGTTCTGTAAACACAAAAACTTCTCTGAAATAAAATCTTTTAAAACCAAGGAAAAAGCAAAGGTTAAGAGTCACCTGTTCTTGTTTGAGGTGAGATGTCGCAGGAAGACATTTAAATACCTTAAACACTTGAGTTGAAGGGTATTCCATGTGAACACAGATCACTACTAGCATACAATGGTCAGGAGAATTTGGAAGAGAGATTTTTATTTTCCACCTCGCCTGCCTGGTGTCCTGTGTTTAACACTCTGGAATGGGCTTTTTAACTTTTAAAAACTGGGGACGGGGTAAGGAAGGAGAGGAGAGCAGAGTGTTGGCTCCTCCTTGCCGTGACACAGGGTCTTGCTCTGCATCCTGCCAGGGAACACAGCTAGGGACAGAGAAGACACAGACTTGACAGCGTCCTACAGGCCTGCAGTTGGGAGAGCAGCCGACCCGCAGAACCAGAGCTGCACTGAGAACAGTGTGAACCAGAGAGGAAACCCGTGCACTGCCAAACACCGGCTGCCGCAGGACAAGCTCTCTTAGGTGGACACAAACTGGCCAGTGCGGCTTCACTCCCAGGCATTCTCAAGACACTCTTCTGCTGCTGAAAAGGAGCGTGTGGGCCGACGGGGCTCCTTTTCTAACAACACATGTCATTACACACTCATCCAAACTCACACAATGCACTACATCAAGAGGAAGCCACAATGTAAACCAAGGAATCTGCGTGACCACGACATAGCTTCAGTAACGTGACAAATGCTGCCCTCTGGTGGAAGGCTGCACATTCACTGGGGTTGGGATAAGGGAAGTCCTATACCTTCCGCTCTTTAAATTGCTCTAAAAAATACTCATAAAAATATGCAAGGTCCTCAGTGTATTGTCATGTAAAGCCACCATGCATTATGTTAAATGATGTCACATTTACTATTTCAGTAAACATGTGCTGATGGATAAGAAAAATAAAATACTGTACAAAAGTTTTACACAAAAACCAGCAGAATCACACCTTTTTTTTTAGTGGTGCTGTAGGGTTGAACTCAGGACCTTGTGCTTGCTAGGCAACTTGAGACACACACACCCCTACCCGCAGCCCACAATCACACTTCTTATTCCTGTCCAAGCTCAGTAGGACCCAGTGACACTGGGTCATAGTCCAAGCATTCAGCCAGTAAGGACAGAATGGGGCACAGGGCAGACACTGTCACTGCTATGCAGCGCTAAGCCACACTGGGGAACAAGAAGAAGAAAGTGCTGCCCTCTGGACGTCACCTGCATGAGGGCACTGCTGCTTTGCCCCTCATTGCTCTATAGAGAGGAGGCTTCCAAGGCACCTGGAATCATTTTCCCTCACACAGGAGGACTCTAGCCCATCCTTGATCTTCTGGTATCACATGTATTTCTGAAAGTCATCTGCTGCCTTGTCTGTTTCTCTCCAACAGTAGCCTGAGTGATGTCACTTATGGCTTTTCCCTCTTTTTTTTTCTTGTTGGTACTGGAATTTGAACTCAGGACCTTGGGCTTGCTAGGCAGGTGCTCTACCATTTGCGCCATTCCCACAGCCCTCTTTGCTTTAGTTATTTCTCCAGTAGAGCCTCATTTATGCCCAGGCAGGGCTGGACCATGATCCTATTTTTGCTTCTCATAGCTGGGATGACAGGTGTGCACCACCACACCCAGCCTATTGGTTGAGATGCATGGGATCTTGCTAACTTTTTGTCCAGGCTGGCCTTGAACCATGATCTTTCTGATCTCCACTCCCATGTACATGGATTACAAGCATGCACCACCATGCCCAGCTAATGGTTTATTTTGCTTCTTCAAAACTCTCACCTTGCTTCCATGTAAACACAGCACAATATTGAAAAGGCTGGCTGTTGGCTCTACTCCCATCTCTTCCTTCCTTCATGATGAGCAGGCTGTGCACCTTGTGTGCACAGCAATCCTGTCACCAAGACTGACCTCCACATGACCAGGGCTTCAAACAAGTGAATGCAAATTTGACATCACAATCTCATTTCCCTTCCTATTTGTTCTATTGTCTAAAAGGAATGATAATGGCACTAATAAGTGAGTAAAGTGAGTGACCATGAGGAAACAATAAAGAGGCTTACCACTGACTCTTCACTTCCCTGCCGCTGAGCCATCTTCCACACTGAGGAGCCATCATCATGGCTATGCTAGAGGACAGAGGACAGCACAGTCAGGCAGGGGACAGAGAGGGACTGCGCTCAGAGTCAGGACCACAGGTTGCACAACAGGAACTGCGTTGTGAAGTGCATGATTTAACCTCTCTGCCACATGAAGTCACAACCCTGCTTCACATACCAGTGAGAGACTGCACAGATCAAAGCCACCAATCATTGACAAAGGAGAAGCCCAACACCCACTGTGAGTAAGCAGGGCCCCAAACTAAACAGGGCATATGCTGCTGACAACACCCTGAAAACAAAATGTACTGGATGTTGCAGAAAAATGGAACCATGCCGTAATCAAGATCTAACCATGAGAGATGACTCAGGATCCCCTCTGCCAGCTTTCTTGAGAAAACACCACACACTTCAGTCCTCTGGAAAAAGACCATTTAAAATACCTCATTGAGGATAAAAGGATATGTACTGAAAGCTGTTTAAAAATGGGAGGTGGGAGGGAAGGAGTAAGGGAGAGTAATGAAAGGGGTTGAACTGACCACAGTAAAGTATACTCACAGCAGGGATACATGGAGAAACCCTTTGAACATTGACTTAAAAACAGGGCTGCTAAACAGGTACTTGTGGGCGGGGGAGGATGAACAAAGGAGATTAAGGTGAGGGAAGTGGTTGTTGAACTTCAAATACTCATGAAATAGAACAATTAAACTTCTTCAATTACTTGAAGCCCACTTCAAGCAGGAAGGGTGGAGGGGGAGAGATGGTGGGGAAGATCTAATCAATGTAAAGCATATTTGGAACTGTCATAATGAACCCCCTATACAACGAATACATCCTAATAAAAAAATTTAAAAATAAATAAAGCATGGCATGAATTACTTTTATACTGGCTTTATTAAAAGGATACTATCTTAGATTGGATTATGTTATTGAAATAATTTCTTTTTTACTTTATTAATGTGACTACTAGAAAATTTTAAATTATAACTGTGGCTTATAATTCTAGTGAATAAGGCCAATGTGGAGCTTAGAAAAACTGGAAAACAAAAGAGAGGGAAAAAAATCTGCTTGTCTCCATCCAATAATTCCACATTCTACTTCAAGAAATTCATCCACAAAAGGAAGGAAGTGGATCTACATCATTCAAACTGGAGAGATTTCCACAATGAACTGGGAAAAACAGCAGCTCCACATGTGTTCATACTAATCACCACCAAAAAAAACCCTCCCAAATACACATAATGTCTGATCATAAAAGATCACAGGAGAATAAATATTTACAGGGCTCACTTTTTCCTGTGGTAAGGGCTGTGGGCAACCACCTCCCCTAAGCTGGGTGAAGAGAACAGGCCCACAGCAGGACATCAGGTGCCACATGACTACATGACTTACTTCACGTACAGCCATGTGTGTGTGGAAGTACATAAAATGAAGAGCTGCACAGAAACATGGATTCTCTCATGAGCTTTTCAGATAACCTCAAAGACAGAAAAATTACTCTTTAGAAATAACTCGATGGAAATCAAAATACATTTGCCACATTATCTGCAATAACAAAACTAAAAATCAGAAGGGACTGGTAATAATCACGACTCCACAGTGTAATATTTTATAGTTATTAAAAAATCATGAGTTGGGTGTGGTGGCACATGCCTGTAATCCCAGTACTCAGGTGATAGAAACAGGAGGATAATGAGTTTGAGGCCAGTCTGGGTTACACAGTGAGACCCTGAATCAAAAAAAAAATCATTATGAAAACAACGTTTGTGCTAACTATTTAAGTGGCGTAAAAGTGAAGACTGTGGGGAAAAGCAGCACAGGTTTCAATTTCCACTGTGCATAAATATGTTCCACAGGCAACCTAAAGGGGAAAGCAGTTCCATGAGGAGAGGGGACACTAGTGGGTGCTGGTGCAATGACAAGTGTTAAACTACCGGCATCTGAGCAGCCATGGGGCAAGGCAATGTGGGAAACTAGACCCATCAGCCAGCACGTCTTGAAGCAGTTTTGCTTATTTATGCCTTTAGGAATTTCTGCCTTGCATCTAACTTGTCTAATTTGTTAGCATGAAATGTTGTTCCACCCATTATTCAAATTGCAGTGCTAACGTCTCTATCATGAACTATTTTTGCTTCTTACATGTTGGGGCTTTCGCTAGGTTTGTGTTCAATTAAAGTGAACTGCTCTAACTTTTTGATCATTGTGAGGTGTTTGTCTCAATATCTATCTTATCTGGCATTGGCACAGCCACTCCGTTCTCTTATTTTCAATCTGTGTGAATCTTCTAATCCAAAGTGGGTCTCGCCACCCACACAAGCCTTGTCTCAGGCTCTGCTCTCGAGGGATCCCAACAAGACCCAGAGCTGACCTTGAATAATAAAACCTACATTTCTCAGCACAGACTGTCTTACCTTCCTTCTTGAATCTTTATCTTTTCCATTATTCCTCACTAAATTATCTGCATGCCTGAAAAACAAACATGATCAAAATCAAAACATACTTTTTAATGAGTAAAGCATTTTCCAGCCAAGCATGGCTGTACATGCTAGTTACCTCAGCATTTGGGAGGCTGAGGCAGGAGGATCTCAAGTTCAAGGTCAGCCTAAGCTACAGAGAGAGACCTGTCTCCAAAAAAAAGTTAATTAAATTAATAAAATGTTTTTAGTCTCAGTGAAGACTCTTACCAATATTTTGATATGATTAAGAAGTACTGAAGGCTAGAAAACCATGTTGTATTAGACTATGAATGCTACACTATCCCTAACATTTTTACCATTTCAGCAGTTACTCAAGATGGAAAATATCTGCAATAGACAGAAGAGTCTATGCATTTTAACCTTGCATTGTTCTTTAAAAATTCTAGAAATTATAATTTATAGTAATCAATCCTGAATACTATGTTATGTTTAATACAATAATGTTTATATTTCCAATAGAAACATTTTCTATTTTTAATTATATCTTACACATTAGTTGGTACTTAAAATAAAGATTTTCAGTTTTTACAACTCACCAATTCAACATGATGTGGGTTAATGCAATCATAGAATGGAGCAAAGCCTCCTTGCATATGCCAGCAGATCTGCAGTTTAAAATCTAGGGATTTGACTCCCTAGGTCTAAGTCCTAGCTTTGTTCAAACTTGTAAAAGTTTCCCTAATGCATGAAAAAGAAATATAAACTTGATGACTATGGTTGTCATGAACAAATTGAAATCTAGTGCTCAGGCTGGGGGGTGACTCAATGGTGGAGCACTTGCCTAGCAGAATGAGTTCAGTCCCCAGCACCACAAAAAAAATAAAATAAAATCTAGAACTTGTACACAAAATTAGTTTATGCATAAACTACAATCTCTAATCTTCATAAAGTAGGTGTTGGTATCATAGTTCTGGCTAGTCCAGTGCCAGCTCTTGCACATTCCTCCTCACTCACCATGTAAAAACACTAGACGGGGTGACTTCTGTAGCTGTGAATCAGAATGGGCTTGCTGGTCCCTAGAAGGGGGCTGAGGTCGAAGAGGGCCCACCCATGCAGTAAGAGACTCCTAAATGAATTATTCTCCCCAAAGTGAGTATTGAGTTTCTAAGTCTGTATGCACTAAAACAACAAGCAAAACAGGACTAGAGTGTGTAACGAGTTGGCAAGTCCTTCTCGAATACCTGGAATATAATTTGGAGGAGTTACATCTATAGTTTATTCCTTTTACCATCTATACTTAGACCCAACAGAAAATTTTGTTTTTAAGGCATTCTATGAGAACTGTGTTAAACTTAAGTCAACAGAACATATGCTCCTTACTGGCTGCAAGTCCCATCTTTTTTCAAACGTGCACCTCGATTTCTGTGTTCACCATTCTATCAAAGAAAGAAAGAATTCCATAATCACTAAGTTGTATATCATACAAAGTACAATTACTAAACTCTGAAAAACAAACACGGACTCAAAGTTTAACCTACTCTACAAGTGTATTTTAAAGTAGCTATTTTATAGGTATTTTTAAAAAATTAGATAACTAATGTAAAAGAAATGGATGAAGTATTTTAACAGGTGTCTATTTATCGCCTCAGTAACTGCAAGTATTATAGTCATCCATTTCACATTATTTAGTGACAAACCTGATGAGTTCCTCAAATGTTCACAGTTGTGAACTTTCAAACACACAACTGACATAAAAAAACTTAAAATCTTCTCAAGTTAGGTGAATTTTAAACATAAAATTAAAACTATTAAATTGTAAATCAATGCAGGCAGGTGGACTACGGGAAAGAGTCTGAGCTGAGGCACAAGGAGTGAAGTGCAGTGTGGCTGGGGGAGGGGAAAGTCCTCAACATGTGGCACCCAGGGGAGCATGTTGGTGGGGGTGAAGTAGGAGGCCAGTCCCTGATAGGTGGCACCTGGGGGAGCAGGCAACAGCGAGAGGTCATAGAAGCCGCAGCCCTGGGAAGGTCCACAGGGACCCAGTGCAGAAGGGCAGGGCTGGGCCCCTCAGTGTGGAAGATGACAGCAGCATTATCAAAGCTTTGGAAGAGTTGCAGTATTTACAACTTTGACCTACCAGTTCTAAGAAGTTATTCTAAAAAACAAAGATGTAGTGAGATCTCAACCTGATCATCCCAGAATAATTTATAGTATCAGACAATGTTAACCTGAATGTTCAATAATTGTTTACTTAATTTAAAAATGAGGTTATGACCACATCATAGAAATACTGGATAGCTATTAAATATCCAATATCAAAAAACATTTCCCAAAATTGAATATCCACATGTAGAGACTGAAAGTAGACCCTGATCTCTTACCTTGTACAAAAATAAACTTAAAGTAGATCAAAGATATAAGACCTGAAACTTTGAAACTATTGTAGGAAAAAAAAAAAAAAAAATCGAGAAAACACTTGAGTTCCAGCCCCAGCACAAAAAACCATCATATAGAAAAAGTGAGTGTTAACAAGGAGAACACAGACCTGGGAGCAGTCCTGGCTTACATCTGCTGACCTAGATAATTATTAGTGATGCCCCCTGAACTTTACATTACTTGCAATAAGTGCAGTAGACCCTTAGTGCCCATGGCTCCAAGAAGACCACTGTTGAGGAAAAGTTGTGAATACTCAGAACCCACAGAGCTCATTTTCCCTGCAACACCACCCAACTTCCACTAAAGACATGATGCCTTTCAATAAATCTAACATTTCACTTTATCATTTCAATTAAGCATATAACTTTTACCCTGCTTTTAGGGAGGCAGATTTGCACAAAATTAAGGGCAGAGAAACAGCACAGTACACGATAACATAGGACTGAAAGCTTCTCTACATCAACTGGGCTGCATAAAGTATATGCAAGAATCCAAAACATTTGTCTTCGAAATTTTTTTACCTTGCATGGTCAAAACTGCATGCACTAAAACCACAGACAAGACAGGCTTAAGACAGGCTTACTGTACACCAAACACTGGGCTCACACAGTAACTAAGCCAAGTAAGTACCTGGAGGTCAGCACAGAAAAATGTAAATTATATGACGATTAACAATCACTCCTGTGTCACACTGTGCACTTCTTGTTTCTTTGTACACAGATGCTCCAACTATCAGAACACAAACTTCAATCTGTTCACAAATGCACCTTAGCACCTGACAGCCTGGTACACAGTGGCCACACAGACACATCTAGCTGTGTAAAGAAGGAAGAACCTGTTCCTGGGACTAATTCTGAAGCAGTGGTGGGATAAAGATGCAGAATAATGTTCTTAATGGGCCATTTCTTTCAGCATGCTTAACAAAGCCCAGACCTAAACATACCATATGTGATCTGGGGAAGGAACAACAGGCAGGTGAGTGAGAAGTCAGTGGCAAAGTCTAAGTAGCACAGATAGCGTTATTCACTGTAAAAGTTGCTGTATGTTTAAAAATGCTCATAATGAAACATTGGGGGAAATTAGAAAGCTTTGGTCTAGGTAAAGAGGCGTTATAAACAGTAGAATGTGCTGGGCACCAGTGGTTCACACCTGTAATCCTAGCTACTTAGGAGGATACCATTCAAGGCCAGCCTAGGCAAATAATTCATGAGACCCCCATCTCAAAAATAATCAAAACAAAGTGGACTGGAGGTGTGGCTCAAGCTGTAGAGTGCCTGCTTTGCAAGTGCAGACAGAGCCCTGAGTTCAAACCCCAGTTCTACCAAAAAAAAAAAAGAACAGCAGCAGAATGTAGCCTGGGGACCTCCTTCCCAATCATTACCTTGCTCTGATTTTCGAGGGTGTGAACACCCTGTGTGGCTGAGTAGAGAAGCCTGTGGCTTTAGATGCCTTATACACAGGGGCAGACAGGCACTGCTTACAACTGCTAAGAAACTGACTGACATCCTGACCCAGAAGGAGGCTGTGGGCTTCAGGTAAGAGCAAGCATCAGAATGGCTGCAAGAAAAGGCCTTGGGCAGAGGTCATGCAGGCTCTGGGACTCTAACAACCTGTCCCTACCACAGACCTTTTCTGGCTTTAATCCAGTTGTTTGGGGCTCATACAATAAACACATGTGTGCTTTTATGGCCATCAACTGTGTGTATTCACATCAGCAGACCCAAAGTCCCGGCACTGGCTGAAAATCCAGCCTTTCCATGCAGGTCTGAATCTTCCCTGACCTCCTGAGCAGACCTGCTTCCGAATAAAGGAAGCATCTCCGAGACACAGGACAGCAAACTCACAACAGTTTGACATTCTTTGAAAGCAGAGCAGCAAAGGCCACAAGTGAGAGCAAAAGTCACTAAACGGCATCTGGTAAAACATTAAATGATTACAGCAATGATGTCAGTACATATGAAAGGAAATTAGATCCTCTATAATCAATACGCACGTATTTTTATTCTGGTTCTGATTTTCTGCAAACTTATACTACCAATTCTGGTTGAAACTAACTTTTATAAGTTGTTTGCCTAATTTCTGTTTTAAAGTGTCAGCCTTTTTAATTAAACTTCAAACTTTCATGATAGATTTCATCTATTAAAACGACATTTACAGCTGGGTGCTGCGTAATGCACCTGTGTTCCCAGCTCCTCAGAGGCTGAGGAGCTCAAGACCAGCTAGGCAACATAGCAAAACCTGTCTTAAAAAAAAAAGTATACTCATGACATAACCAAAAGACCCGAGTTCACATTTCTTAAAAGACCAATAATCTCCCTCTACTGATCACACAGCATAGACTTGAAACACATTTTTAGCAACATTGCTTGTGATGGTTCATCTTGATTGTCACTTGATTGTCTTGAGAGCTGCTTAAGAGATTAGTAAAGCTCATCTCTAGGTGTGTCTGTGAGGTGTTTCCAGAGAGGATTCACTAAGGATAAAAGGTCCACCCTAAATGTGGGCCTGGATAGAACAAGACAGAGAAGGAGAAAACCTGCAGGGCAGGCATTTGCTGCCAGCTTCCCAAGCACTGTAAAGTGAGCTGCTCTGCTCCACCACACCTTCCTACATGATAGACTAAAACCTCTAAAACTGTGAGCAAAAGAATCACTCTCCCTTCAGCTGTTTCTGTCAGGTGTGACCAACAGCAACTAAAGGCAACAATGTTAACACTATCTGGCTAGATTTAGATACAACTTGTTCTCTGGAATGTTGACCTCAGGATGACATAAATACAATCAGGCATGGAGAATGATACCTTGGAATCCCTCTTCTTGTGCTCTTCTTTTGATGATCTCTCTCTCCTGTCCGTGCTACTTCGGTGCCTGTCATCATCGAGACGAAGGCCTTCTTTGTGCCGTTTTTCCCTGTGTCTCTCTTCCCCGTTCTTGGCAGTGAGTGAGCTCCCCTTTTCTTTTGAATGTTTTTCTCTTTTCTCCCTTGTGCTGCTTTTCTCTCCATGTTTCTTTTCTCGATCTGCTTCTCGTGCCTTCCTGTGTTTTCGTTCACCTTCTTCTTTATAAAGCCAGAACTTGAGAGGATTGTCTTTGCTGTCACCATACTGCAGCTTTGAAACACAACAGACAAAACATGTGTGAGCAAATCACAGATGAACATGTCTTCCATACATACATGTTATGAGGAGAAAGCAGGGGAAATGACACGCCCACCACTCCCCCTTCACTCCTCTATCCTGAGGTCAGGTTTTCCCCAAAACCTAACGCATTGTGTTTCTGGAAAGAGAAAACTCCCTATTCACACCACTGCTGGTCACTCAGCCCTACAATGTAACAGAGACACCAAAGCCCAGCTGCCTTCACTCCAATGTGAAGACAAGATCCAAATTCCTCAGTGCACTGGTTTGGCTCCTGAATGTCCCCAGAAGCCCATGTCTTAAAGGCCTGGTGGTACTGCTGGGAGATGCTGTAGACCTGCAAGAGGCAGGCCTCGTGGGAGGTCCTTAGGTCACTGAGGCATGCCCTCAAGGGGACCCTGATCTTATCCTCTTCCTCTTTCTCTCTGTTCCCTGCCTTGGGCTGGGAGTGGTTGGCTCCACCATGCACTCCTACAATATACCACCTTTCCACAGGCCCCAATGGGGCCAATGTGTCGTGGACTGAAACCTTCAGAACTGTGAATGCTTTATAAATTCGTTATCTTGCGTATTCCTTTACTGTGACAGAAAGATGACTCATAGACTCAGCAAAGCAAGTACAGCATTCACCACACGGTCCCTCATCACCATCTGGTCATTCCTCCTCCATCACATTCCTATTCTTGCCCTGTGCCCCTCAGTTCTACAGCCCTGCAGTTCCTCTGTGATGTCTGTGGCTCTTCCAGGAAGGTGTTCTTTGATAAGGATGACGGCACTATGCAGCTACTCTCCTGTAATGAATATAGAATCTCTCCCTCACATGCCCACCAGGTGGAGTCTTGAAGACAAGGGACCCTTAATCATCTCCACATCCCCAAACCACTGTGGAGGCTCTGTAAACTGGAGACACCCAGGCCATGGAGGCTCAGTAAGTAATCAGAGACACTGCCTAAGCTGTAGAGGCTCTGTAACTAACTGGAGACCCCCACCACAGGCTCCATAAGCAACTAGAGACCCCTCTGCAAGCCATACCACAACCATCATGATCAGTGCTCTGGCTCAGGCTCAGTTCTAGGAGCGGGGCAGCCCGATCAGACCCCAGGACATACCTGACCTGATCCCTCCCATAGGGTCCCCTCTGCTCATCCCAGCCAGGGCCCCTAGACTCAGTCCACACCCCTTCCTCATGTCTTGTTCCCTGTGATCCTTTTGCCCCTTCTGGGACCCCAAAAGTCTCCTTCATCTCCTTCCCTCAGCTCTCCCTACCTAGCCCACCTGATCATCTTTGACGTGGTAATCTCCTAAAGAAAAAGAATGTTCTGGCCAAGCTCTAAAAAGTCAGGTACTGATTCAGATCATTGCCAAAATAAATGCTTTCAAAAAGCAAAACAAAACAATTTACAGACCCAGGAGAAAACACAGACAACTACCTGTGTAACTCAGGAGTGAGGACAGGGCTCTCCAAGAACGCCATCAACAAGAGGACACACTTGTCTGCCTCACAGTATGCTCTCACAAAATAAAGATCCCACAAGTCAAATTCAAAACAGCCTTCTACAGTGTGCTTAAAAGCCAGTAAGACAAGTCACTAGAAAGTAAGCAAGTTAACATAGGAGGTAATTAACAAAAGGGCAGTAAATTCTTCTGAGAAAAATCCCAGGATTGGTGTGGTGGCTCATGCCCATAATGCCAGCTACAATGGAGGAAGAACAGAACTGAGTTGGTGGCCCCAGGCAAAAAAAAAAAAAAACCTGAGACAGAACAGAAATGCAAATCAAAACACCACTAAGATTTCATCTCACCCCAGTCAGAATCACAGTTATCAAAAAAAAAAAAACCAAAAAAAAAACAGTAACAAATGCATGGGATGGAGAACCCTTATACACTGTTGAAGGGAAGGTAAATTAGTACAACCACTCTGAAAGTAAAAAAAAAAACCTAAAAATAGAACTACTTTATGACCCTACTAAACCACTTCTGGGCATATATCTGAAGGAGTGTTGTCAGCATACAATAGAGAACCTGCACCCATGTTTACTGCAGCACTATTCACAACAGCCAAGCCGTGTGGCATCAGTCTAGGTGCCCAAGAACCAATAAGTGGAGAAGAAAAATGGAGTAGTAGTCAGTCACAAAGAAGAATGAAATCATGTCACTTGTAGGAAAATGGATAGAACTGGAGATTATCATGTTCAGTAAAATAAGCCAAGCTCTAAAAGCCAAATATCACACATTCTCACTCATATGCAGAATCTTGACCTAAAATATTACTACTACTACTACTACTAATAATAATAATAATGATAATGGGATATGAGTATAAAAGGGGACTATTGTAGGAAGGACCTGTAGGTGCAAGAAGAGGAACTGCAGTGGGGTGGTGTGACTGAAGTACATTAAATATACATATAAAAATGGCATAATGAAATCCACTAAACACTATTTGAAAAGGGAGGAGAAGAGAAGGATTGAGGGCAGTACAACAGGGGAGGTAAATTTGATCAAAGCACATTGTACTCATCCATGGAAATATCACAATGAAACCCCTTTGAACAATTAGTATATGCTAATAAAAAATCATGAGACCCTACCTAAAAAATAACTGCAGCAAAAAGAACTGGGGCATGGCTCAAGTGGTACAGCATCTGCATAGCAAGTGCGAGGCCCTGAGTTCAAACCCCAATACCACCAAAAAGGGCAAAAACAAAAGGAAAATGCCCAGAGGGGGCAGCTGTGCAGGAGGATAGCTTGTCATGTTCTTCAGCACACAGAATAGCTAAGGTTGGCAACAAAAGAATATTTCAAAGTGCCAGTGAGAGGGTTTTCAATATTCCTAACACAGTGAAATGATAAATACCTAAGGTGATGGATGTGCCAAATGTCATTCTGGTCACTGCACACTGTATGTCACACTGTGCTCTGTAAGTATGGGCAACTACTAGGTGTCAATTAAAAATCAAAAGTATGTTTCAGGGCTGTACAAAGCCTGCCTGGCAAGCACAAGCCCTAAGCTCAACCCCAGTACCACCACCACCACCAAAAAAAAAAAAAAAAAAAAAATTCTGAAATTTCATTATCTTCTGAATCAAATTAACAAGATTGAAAATGATGAATAGTGCCCAATTCCTGCCTAGGAGATAGGGAATGACAGTCTAATGGTATAATTTGGATGGAAAGCAAATGGGGCAAGTTTACACTTACTTTGATCTACCAAGTTCATTTCTGGAAATTAATCATAAGCAAATAATTATGAATAAATGTAAAAAGTTTACCCTATGGATGTCTTTATAATAAAAATTTCAAACCTAAGTGTTCAAAGCAGCAGACATGTCAAGAGAACTGATACATCTGTATCACTGAATATGAAAATACCATAAAGAAACATGGTAACTCAGGTAAACACTCAAGATGTATTCATTTAAACTGTTATAAAGCAATAAAAGTCCAACTTAAGAAAAAATTATATATCCATGTACACACTTATATATAAACTTGGTAGGATACATATCTAAATTTTTCATTAATAACCTTTGGGTGGGAAATAGCTTTTATTTTCGCATTTTTATTTGTATCTCTTAAACTTTCTAAAATAACCAAGGCTTTCCCTTAGGATTAGAAACAACCTGGGCAGTGAGAGGAGAAAACCCGAGCACCGTGTGCACATAACAGGACTCAGCATGCTGCATCAGCACCCTTCTCAGCAGACTCCACAGCAGCACCTGGTGATCGGATGACCGCAGCGCAAGTCCTCTTGGCCTAGCCTCCGTACCTTTCTTTCTCGGTATCGTCTCTCCCTGTCTTCATCTCCTCTTTCAGAATCTTCATCCCTCCTTTCTTTCTCTTCAATTCGTACTTTACTTACTAAAAACAACAAAAAACCATTTTTAATATTCCCAAATTTTATCAAAAAAATCTAGCACCTTGCTATAGACTTTACTTGCAAGTATTATGTTTACTAACATGTATGTTAAACATACTCTCCAAACCTGAGAGTGACAAGCTGCAGGCTCTAAACTTAAGATGGAATAAAGAGGGGGATAAAAAGGCAATCTAGGAAATACATAATTAATTCTTCCCCTCTCCCAGTTCACTTCTGCAGCAAGCTGGCAAATGTGTGAGCAACCCTGGAAATCAAGAGGGTGCTAGCCCCAACACAGTGCCCGCAGGGCTTCTGTGCTCCAAAACAGAGAGGGTCACATGGGGAGCAGAGTTGGCTGAGAAGAAAACCCAGCCAGGGGCCAATGTCCCAACCAGCTGTGAACCCCCAAGGACATCCCTGCTAGAGGTGGCTGAGGAAACAGCACAGCTCCTTCAGCCTTCTGGCATCCCCACTACAGAGCAAACAGAGAAGACATGAGGGCCAAACAACTGAGGAAGCCAAGTGAAGTGCAGTCACCCCACTGGCAAGAAGCAGAGGCATTGGCTGTGGGGGTGGCAGACAGGGCTGGGTGGACCAGAATCACCCTGGTACTGTGACTCCTTGCAAAGCATCACCAAACAAGGAAAACCAGCTTCCACCTCTGCATCTGCATAAGCAACAGGTCAGTAGCTTGCAGTTAGGAAAACTGGACCCTTCAGCACACTATGCCTGTGCTAAAATAGCACGCTGAGCCCTGTTAATGCATACAACTACTACATGGTAATCAAAAAGAAACTATTTATAGAGCATTTTGTTAGCCAGCATGGTGGTGCATACCCGTAATCCCAGCTATCAGGAAGCTGAGGTGGGAGAATCATGAGTCAGAGCCTAGGCTGCACTGTTTTGAGATTGGATCACAAAAACAAAACACTTTTTTAAAGTATACTGTTAGAAGGAGGAGAAGAGAAAATCAAAAGATGAGAGCAAAATTAAAATAAAACACTCAGGGATCACTGAGACAAAGTTCATCCATTCAGAAAGTATCCACTGACCACTGCTCACTCTGCTGGGAGCCCGGGACACAGAGGAAGGGTCAGGTTCTAGGCGTACTGCAGAGGTATAGCCCACGGATTCTCCAAGAAACGGAAAGAGAAAGTGCACGGTCAGAACAGTCCCTGTTTTCTGACCTGAGGAGCAGAAGGATGTATTGCCAGCTGAGATGAGGACACTGCAGCAAGGAGGCTACCAGAAGTTCAACGTGGGTTGAACAGCAGACATCGCAGTATAGGGAGATGCACAGCCTGAGACTCAGGAATGAGGCCCAAGGAATTAAAACTTGGAAATCTAATGGGTAAGTGCTATTTAAAACCATGACACTGGAACCAGTCAGGGCAGGAGGAAGGTAGCTGGAGAAGGGGTCCCAGGACCAAGCTCCATTACCCATGGAGATGCAGAAGGAAAAGGGGTGAGGAAACAGGCCTACGAACGAGGACAGAAAGAAAGTCAAAGAGTTTAATTACATAATTAGTCTTTCCAGCACAATGTATCTTAAATAATGGATTGCAAAATAAGGGCAAAAAAGAAAGTGATCTGAGAATTAAAGATTTTATTAGAAATAAAAAGGAACATCAAAACGAGAACTGTGTACACTGAGCCAGTGCAGACTGAGCCAGGCCCACCAGCCAACCCTCTGCTGAAGCCAAGAGTTACAGCTCATTATTCTAATGAGCTCCTTTCACCTCTGCTGGCTAATTTGAATGTGTATGACATATGTATAACCGGTACAACCAAAACATAGTGAAGAAACTTCCATTTAGCAGAAAATGTATACATCTTTACCTTAGAATTCCTATGAATTTGTACAAATAATACTTGAAATACCACTGAAAACAAATACTTGAATATTGCTTAATATCTTTTATCAAAGAGAATTATTTTTGTTTATACAGAAGAGGACTAACATTTACTGAGCTACTAAACCTAAACTACGTTTTGGCAGGACACCAGGGATGCTCACCTATAATCCTAGCTACCTGGGAGGCAGAGATCAGGAGGATCACGGTTAGAAGCCAGCCTGAGCAAATAAACCCAACACACACAAACACACACACACACACACACACACACTCCAAAAAAAAAAACCAGGGTTGGTGGAGTGGCTCAAGTGGTAGAGAGCCCTGAAGTTCCAACTCCAATACTGCCAAATAAATAAATAACATTTCAAAGGGAAAACTTATCAAATACTGGGAAAACTGTTCCTTCATTGACTAAATAATTATTTAAAATATCAAAGTAGCAAACACAAAGAGAGAGAGAGAGAGAATAGGGGCCTGGGAATTCAAATCCAAAGCTAAAACATTCATGAAAACTCTAAGAGAAAGCAAAATGATGACTGAACCCACGTAAAAAGGAAAATGGTCTAAACAGTAAGGACTTTTAGAAGCAATACAGCTGACAAGATGCTAACACAGCTTGGCAACCCTCGTACTGGTACACAGCCAGAGACACACCTGAGTGGCTCTTCTTCTCCACCCGGTCTGGCAGCTGCCGATCGCACGCCTCCCGGCCCAGGAGGTTGTGGTAGGTGGTGGTCTGCCGGAGCTCCTCTTTCCTCGCCCTCCTGTCCTTCTCTTTTTCCCTGTCCTTTCCTCGACTGTAAGACTTTTCTGCATCTTGTTCCCGATACTTCTCTTTCAACTTTTCTTTTTCCCGGTCTTTTGTATCTTTTCTCCTTTCCCTGTGCTTATCTCGGTCTCTCTCTCCACGAGGATTCTCCTTAGAGGTGTGTGGGTCTCTCTCACCCATCCTTTCTCTGTGCCGGACATCCCGGTCTGGGTCCCTGTACTTGTGCTCTTTGCATTCGATGAGATCCACATCTGACTCCTTGTGCAGCTTCTTTTCTCTGTGCTTCTTCTCTTCCTTGGGACTGCCTGATTGAACAGCCTAAAACAACAAAAAGGTGTTCCTTGACCAGGAAAGCACATTTTCTCTAACTTTGACTATCTGGGAAATCATATTCATCTGAAGAACCTTTTAACACTGACCCCAAGTGCTTTCCAGTCCCAGCAGGATGTGGGGAAAAAGGGTGAATATTCTTAGAATACTAATATGCTGGAGTCACACTTAGCAGTCCTATAACTGCTGACTGGCACCCATGTGTCAGAGACAGCCATGTTCACTGGCAAATCAAATTTTAAAAAATGCATGGAGGCTGGAGATAGGCTAGGATGGAGCCCAGTGGTAGAGCACTTGCCTAGCATACACAGACTCTGGGTTTAATCCCCAGCACTGCAAAAAATGAAATACTAGCCAATGGTTCACACCTATAATTCTAGCTACTCAAGAGACAGAGATGAGGAGGCTCATGGTTCAAAAGCCAGCCCAGGCAAATAGTTCAGGAGACACTATCTCGAAAAAACACCCCAAAAAAAGGAGTTGGCAGAGTACCTCAAGTTGTAGAGTGCCTGCCTATCAAGAATGAGGTCCCAATTTCAAACCCCAATTACTGCCAAAAAAGGAAGGAAGGAGGGAAGAAAGGAGGGAGGGAAGGAAGAAAAGAAGGAAGGAAGGAGGGACGGAGGGAGGGAAAGAGGGAGGGAGGAGGGAAGGAAGGAAGGAGGAAAGGAGGAATTGAAGGAGGGAAGAAGGGAGGGAGGGAAGAAATAGTACGTGTAGCAGAGAGATAATGAAGCTGCATTTTAAAGTTGCTGAGACATGAACAGCCTTGGTGCTATATACAGAGCAAGACCTTACTATAAAACTCTTTGGAGGACTTGGTCTCAATCCCTAAGCCCCTCTCCCAACCCCTGAAACTAAGAACTGCATGCCCAGAAAGGCACAGGTATATCTTAAACCATGGCAGGGCCCAGGAGCTGGTGGGCATGTCAGGCTGGATGACAAACAGGTCACGTTTCATCTTTGAGTCAAAATATCTGAAATGCACCTCATGGAATCAAAGTTGTGCAGTGGTGTGCACCAGGTAAAACCGTCCAAGAAAGCCATAATGGGTGCCATCTGGATCCCAATTTAAGTCTCTAAAATAATTACCCAAAGGTGTTTTCTGAGGTCCTCTGCCTTCCAAGTGTCATCTTTATTTCTTTTCTAAAAAGAAAAGTATACAGTTAGAATTTTTAAAGTTTAAAATAAAAATGCGTGAGCGCTAGTGAACTTTTACATTACACTATTTGAATCAATGGTGATTAATTTTTGATATCCTAGAAAATAATTTCTTACCTACTGCACATGTGGGAGGCTGAGGCAGGAGGATGATGAGTTCAAAGCCAGTCTAGGTTATACAGAAAGACCTTATCTAAAAAAAAAACAAATCAAAAACTATGCTTAATTTTTAAGAATGTATTCCTTTGACTACTACTAAATATTACAGAGAGAAAACAATTTATAATGGCAGCTGAACAACAGATCAAGGACAGTATTTTGTGGATTTAAGATATATTTTGTCAGATTATATTTTCCAAAATTGGCCACAGCAATCCCTCTTATCCCAAATGCTGTAGAGACAGGTGGTGTCTGTGCTCCTCCGGCTGCAGTTGGCCATCCTAGGACACAGGAACACTGTGAGAATGTGGTTCCCAACTGGCCCTCCTTGGGTTACCCACTTCAGGAACCTAGGTGTGAGGAGGAGAAGCAACCACAGGGGACAGATGCCATATGCAGACATCTGGCCAAGACCAGCCGAGGCCCCAGTTAGCACTGGTGGCCAGACTGAGAGACTCCACCTAATGAGTCACCAGACACCACCCCCAAAACCTACATCAGCCAGCTGAGGCCCAAGATGCCAGGGAGCAGAACTAAGCTACCTAAGCTGTGTGTTCTGCAACTCCTAGTCCAAGAATACACAAGGATAAAATAAAAATAAAAATGCTACTGGTATTTTTAGTATCTGGAAAGTACAAGTAGACAAACAGAAGAGGACTTAATGTCTAAGGCTTCCAGATTCCCCGAGTCAAGTACACAATTTGATCCCATAGTCCCATTAAGAAGGTCATTGGCTCCATTTTACAAATGAGGACACTGAGGCAAAGAGCAGCTACATACACTCATCTCTAGAGTCCTGACATAGCAAGGTGCATAGTAAAACTGGGCCAATATGGAAGAGGCCTGCCTGGGCCCACTGAGTGACATCCCAAGCTTGACCTCTGTACTGGAGAACTGTGCAGCCCCAACCTCAGGGGTCTCTCAGTCCCACAAGGGTACCTGTGCTCAGGAAATTAATGTGAGTCAACTCCCTGTATAGCTATCCTTATCTCAACCAGCAAAAACACTTGTTCCTTCCTATTATTCCTTATATTCTCTCTTCAACAAAATTAGAGATAAGGGCAAAATAGTTTTTGCTGGGTATTGAGGGGGTGGGGGGGAGAGGGAGGGGGTGGAGTGGGTGGTAAGGGAGGGAGTGGGGGCATGGGGGAGAAATGACCCAAGCCTTGTATGAACATATGAATAATAAAACAAAAAAAAAGGGTACCTGTGCTCATTCAGCAAATACTTGTTGAGCTCCAAGCAAATAAGCACCATGCAGACTGAAATAACAATGATGATCGAAACAGAAGACAAGCACCCATTTTCCAGAAACCTGCGTCCATCCCCAGCACCAGCCATCTATCACTGTGTTCACTCCTGCTTGGATCAGCTTTCTAGCATCCTCTCCATCTTTCTTCTGCGAATGATCACACCTCTACACCTCCCCTCAAGCATAGACCACATCTCTCCATTTGTCTTTTTCTTTTTATGCAGTACTAGAAGTGGAACCAAGAGCCCAGCACATGCGAGGCAAGTGCTCTCCCACTGAGCTATACCCTAGTCCAGTCACACCTCCCCAACTAATGATAACCTCCAGTGTGGAGAGGGTCTTAGTCCCCTAGGACTACAGCACCTCACAACCACCAGCCATGAGGGCTGGTGATGCAGCTCAGTGTAGAGAATATATACAAGGCCCTGTGTTTGATCCTCAGCACCACAAAGATAAAGATCAGCCAGGAATGAGGGTACAAACCTGTAATGCTAGCTACTCAGGAGGCGAAGATAGGAAAACTCAGTCCAAGGCCAGCCCAAGCAAAAGTGCAAGACCCCATCTAAATATGCAAACTAAAGCAAAATGCCTAGCAAGTGCAAGGCCCTAAGTTCAAACCCCAGTATCAAAAACAAGGTGTTGTAGTAGTTCCACTAATTCTCCACCCATTCTCCTTCCCAGGAATGTGTGCCAGGTTCAAAGCCTCACTTCTAGAGAGAGCTGGGTGAAAGATGCTATGTGACTTCCCAGTGAGTTGAGCATAGGCTCCTTAGAGGTAGAGGCTCAGCTTCTCCTTCTGTGGTACCCCTTCTACCCTGACACAGCCACTAACTGCCCAGAAAGCGTACCCTTTGCCACCTGTAACTCAGCCCATCTCCCCAGGCAAGTGTACGATAAAAGTAGTCTCAACTAAGGAGAACCAACCAAGGACGGTTTCCTGTGAAGAACAAGACAGTGTTTATCCTTACTTTAACTTTCCCCTTAAGAGAAACACATGGTTTGGGGTTGGAAACTGACTCTCCCTGAGGTACTGGGGAGGAGTCTAGATATTGTGAGACCCTGTTAATAATGATGATAAGCCTTTATGGTGAGCACCTTTTATACTTTTTCCTTTGAGTGTGCTGGGATGTTGGGGGATGGGGTGATCTGACTCCCTAACTGACAGCTGCAACCCTTTGATAGTGCCCTGGCTGCCTTGTGCCAAGGACTGTCAGCCAGGCAGCTGGTAGTCCTCATGCCAGCACTAGCTGCAATAAACCCTCCATGTACACCTGGGGGAAACTGTGCTGGGGCATGACTCCAATTCCTGAAGACACTGTCCAGCATATGGATTGTGCTGGACTTCTTTTCATCATGGCCTCAGTGAATTCTAGATGATCCTGCAGCCATTTCCTCCCAGGTCAGGGAGGGAGCACTTCCTTGATAGCCCAACAGAAGACCTGTGATTGGTATAAACACTGTCCTTCATTTGCACAAGGGGACTGCCATTATTGGTGCAGACAACCTTGCCACACCCTTTTCTGACTAGATAAGCAGGTTTGTTCAGCTTACTTGAATCAACCTAGAAACACCCTCCTGTGCTGCAGCATTAGGCCTAATGAAGACTTCTCTAGAGTGGTCTTCTTTGCCTATGTTTGATTTTTATCACCAGTAGGGTGGCTGGGTTGGTAACAGGAAGAAAAGACAGGAAAAGTAGTGGCAGAGGAGTCAGCAGTGGGGGGGCACAGCCAGAACCATCCTTCCAGGGTCAGTGACAGGAGCAGTGCTGATGTTGGCGGTGGCAGCATCAGAGCAGACAGCAGCTAATTAGACCTGAAAGCAGACAATCAGAGCCGCCAGCAGTGACAAGGAGAGCCAAAGAGAAGAAAGTGTGGACCCTGGCTGTGGGAAGAGAGTTGTAGCACTTGTCACCACTGTGGGCAGGCTGCCTAATGCTCTGGGCCCCAAGCCCCTAAGCGTGAGAACTGTGACACTTGCTGTAGCTGAGAGCTGTCAAGGGCCTGGCCCAACCTGGAGGCAAGGGAGCTGCAACCCTAAAGGGCAGCACCCACCAAGTGTCTGGAGTAGCTGGAGGAGCTTCTCCACCTACCCACAATGCCTATCCCTGTCCAGATAGAACAGAAGGATCCAGTGAGCCAGTTCGTAACATAAGCAGCACTGCCTTAAAGGTGTAAGTAGCAGAAGAGTTTCTTAAGTGTATTCAATGAAAAGCAGAAATAGTGTAAATGAAACTGAGTAAATCACTAAAAATCTTCCTGGTTATGTGACATAACACCAAATAGAAATAATTAAAAAATAATGAGTTGAAAGAACCTAAAAAAATAATCTAACTGTGGCAGGAAGGCAGGGAGGGGGAAGGGAGATTGTTGGAGCCAACGTGGCTATTTTTCTGGGATTTACTGTGTATCTAGAATCTGCCTTGAATTCCCTACTCTGGGGGCCACAAGCAGCTTTCTGAAAGCTCAAAAGTGTCACAGACCTTCAGCTAGGCTCTGCAAGGTTTCATATAACTGTGACCAGTCTGTAGGGGGGGTAGAGGAGAAATTCTGTACCAGCTTGTTTCTCTACAACTGGTTTCTCTATAACTGGTGGTCTTTCTGACCACCTGTGAACCATCTACTGCAAAAAAAACCCTGGTTACATAAACCATCTGGGGGGTGTTTATATAACTCATCTTCTGACACTGATCGGGGCTCAGGGCTTTGAGAAATTATCTCCCCTGAGTCCACCAGTGTAATAAAAATTCCTGCTTCCTGCAAAGTAGTCTCAGTGACTTTGTTCCCCTTGCCATTTCCCACAATAAGATAATGAGTGCTACAGCGAAACAAAGGAAAACCAGAGTTGGGGAATGTTACTGGAGACCAGTGAAGGGTCACCTCCCCCTGAGGTTACAGTGGCCAATGAAGTGACATATGATTGTGTGTGGGACAAGCTGCATACATAATTCACTTCTGTAACCTACTCTCAGTGGTATATAAGGAAAGCTCCCTTTGTTCTCAGGGCTCAGCCTTTGGACCCAAGTCCTCTAAGTTGGTGCCGGCTTATTTAATAAACTTGCACCCAAAAGCTTTGGTGCCCTCTCAGTCTCTGTCTGAGCCTCCCGCAACATTTCTGGGGGCTCGTCCAGGATTTGGAAGGTGGTGTTTTCACCTCTTTGTCACTGGCTCAGCATCCCCAGCCTGCCAGGAGGGCTGCCCCTGCCAGGCGCCATCAGACTATGTCGATCCAGGGGAGGGAGCCTCTTTCCCAGCAAGCTGAGGAGGTGAGTTCCAGTTGCACAAAGGAACCTGAAAGGCTCAGGAACCAACCTGGGAGCCCCGCTTATCAGACTGGGAAGAATGGGAGCTCAAATTCAAGCGTGCCTCAGGAGGCAGAATGGGGAGTCTGATCAACTCTCAAAAGGCACCCTAGTAACTGCCTTTTGGTGGGTAAAACCGTGTCTTTCAGGTTTAGGGAGCAGAGTGGAAGTACTGGGCTGTGTGAGAATTTGTGAAAATGTGAGCCTGAGATGTAGCCTGGTTATGAGTGAGTGCAGAGTCCCAATCCACAGGTCCACGGATTTCATATGGTCTAG